AATAACATTAAATAACAATAAATAACAATAAATAACAATAAATAACATTAAATAACATTAAATAACAATAAATAACAATAAATAACAATAAATAACATTAAAAAACATTAAATAACAATAAATAATATTAAATAGCATTAAATAACATTAAATAACATTAAATAACAATAAATAACATTAAATAACATTAAATAACAATAAATAACATTAAATAACAATAAATAACATTAAATAACAATAAATAACAATAAATAACATTAAATAACAATAAATAACATCAAAAAACATTAAATAACATTAAATAACAATAAATCACATTAAAATACATTTAATTATAATAAATAACAGTCAATAACAATAAATAACATTAAATAACAATAAATAACATTAAATAAAAATACTGATCTTTTCCAACATCATTTTGGATCTAACATGAACGATTCGCACTGAGATGTTATCCGCCTTATTAAATATTTTCAAGATTTGAATCACCTGTTTGCTGCAGTACCTCTAGTCTATCATACGAAATATTCACTTCTTAACGAGCAATCTCAATGAATGACCAGTATTCATTCAACTTCGTTCACAGTTTCAGTGATGGTAAATACGTCGAACGTGAACAACATTAATGAACAACTTCCACAAGCAGTTTCAATGCGGCTTTTAAACGACAGTATCTCAACTCTCATTGTACAGTGTACCAACTCTCAATGTAATATTTTCCATGCTGTACCAGAACAACATTTGCATCACCATAACTATACATTTGAAAGCATAGCACCAACTTTTCACGACAAAATTTATATGAATGCTTGACAATACAATACTAACGTTATAGTAAATTAACGAATGATTTCATGGAGAAACAAATTACAAACATATTTGGAATCAGTGTGAGGGACTGGTTCGATGAAAAATAATTCAGCAAAAACAAAAAATCTCCACACTATACTGATCGATTATAACACTGCAGTGACGATCCTACTTAAAATTCCAGCAAGGAGAAACAGAATATGTTTCGAATCAGCGCATACGCTAGTCTAGAATCGATGAAATAATCAATTCAACGACAGAAAACGTTAACACCGGGTTATGATCAAACATGTTTGATACGATGATAACTGGAGAACGATTCACTGGAAAAAAAACGGATGGCGTGGTTGGGTTCAGTGCGGAGTCTGGTGCAGAATCAATTAAAAAATCCAGCAATCAAAATTCATTGTCAGGTGATTTATACTGCGGTTCTTCCGCTCACACATCAGTACCTTAATAACCGAGAGGAGTGCAGTCAATCCTCACGAATCAGTCAGTTTCAATTGGTTGCTCACCTCGAAGCGAGCATTTTATGAACAATAACAATGACTTTTTCGTTGACTTGAGAATGTAAACCAAACTAAAAAAACTTTATTCAACGACCATTTACGTCACAGTTCAGTGGCAAAGATCAATTCAAATGAGAACTTCTCCTGCGAAAACAATAGTGAATGGAATGAATGAGTGAATTTATACGTAACAACTACAACAACTGAAAAACAAACACAACAGAATGTTGAATAATGATGCAATATACAGCATGTCCAGCGATTGATATAAACAATAGCAATAAACCGTTATATTTAACAATGTCGATGCAAACGCGAGTGAAAATATCGTGATAAAAATATAAGTGCATGAAGGTAGATCGAATTCACGAAGGTAGGTCAAATTTAAAAGATTGCAAATATAAAGTGATGGGGTGAAATTAGTGATTATCTCAAGAATTCATGTATTCATAACAAAATAAAACCAGACGTGGCTTGACACGTCACAAATGAAACGACAGGATAACCGAAAAATTAACACCAACAATAATGCGTCACAAAAAGAATGTCATGGTGATGAGACCGTATTCAACAGGGCAAATTTCTGCTAATTAAAATCAGATTCCAATGCGATATTACGCTAGGCCTTTAACAAAGGAATTGGTACATTATATACATATTTGATAAGAAGACAATAACGCTGTTAATCTGTTATATTAAAAATGAGGCATTAAAAATAGGTCCTGAAAGCGTTAAAGATGACAATACCCATACAGATCTGAATAAATGAGATTCATAGTCAGTGAGTGAGTTAAAGTGACGCCCAGTCAATTGCTGGTTTACCGAGTTTGATGAGAGCGTTGTTGGTCTTCGAAAAGCAGCGACATCCCATAAAGAGACGAGCGCTCAGTGGTGATGGATGCGCAGTCTGAAACAACGATATCAAATTACGATTGTTCGGTACACATTACAGCGATAATTATTCGTATGCCTTAAATGGAAGGGTTCTAAAGACTGGTGAGAAATTGGTGAAGAATGAAACGAATACAGTCATTTTTCCTTCCTTTCTTGAGTGTACGCTCGTAATGATAATTTCGAAGAAAGTGGAAGGTAGTCATGGTTTTCATGCGATGTGAGCTTTGTACTATTGAATACACTGATCAACATGTCGAAAATAGAGAATATGCGCAGGAACATTGGTAGTTGACGCTATTTTACGTGGTTTGTACAATGCAGATGCAATTTGTTGCTAACGTCAGCATATCACTAAGATTTGCGGGAAACGAATAAATGTGACATATGAAAGAGTGATCCAATTCAATCAAGCGAGATACCTTAATGATAGTGTGTTTCTTACGATCAACGAGTGCCTCTTTTTTATGTGCAAATCCACCCCACAGCAAGAAAACAACACCGTTTCGATTTCTTGACACAATACGAATCACTTCGTCAGTGAATTTCTGCCATCCAATTGCACTGTGCGAATTTGCCTTATGAGCTCTTAACTAATTTTTAGTTGATCACTTCTTGAAATGTTACTCACATTTATGAGAATGCTGATTGTGAGGAGATTTTATTTCCAGAAATGCACTTAAAATTAGGAAACGAAAAAGACTTATGCGATATCATTCACTTCTCCGTTAGAGTCATTCGTTTAAGGTACCAGCGAACATGGAACGACAGTTTTTGTCATGGTTGAAATGCAAACTGAACCGATATCAAAAAACGATGTGCACTGATAAATCATTTCTTTCTCTTCGGACAGCTGAATGAATTACTCTGAAAGAGTACGTTCAAACAATATCAAATGAATTCTACTAACTCAACGGTGAGTGTTGCATTCAGCATGAAAACGCCTTGACGAGCCCAAGATTCAAGACATCCGTGATTAGGTATCGTAAATTTGGGAATGTCTTCTTTCATCTCCTGATAACAAAACAACTCACCACATTTTCAAACTGACAAGGACGTGATTTCAATTTTCGAATCAAAGTGTGCAAAGATATACTGATCATAAGAAACAGTTCCTGATCATAAAGAAACAAATTAGAGTTCGTCGACCGAACATTAGATAACAGCGTCAATTGAAAATAAGCTTTAAATTATATGCTGGCTTGAAAAAGAGAGTGAATCACTACATCAGGAGAATAACGACAAATTATTTGACAAGCCAACCTCCTACCTTATAAATATTAACCAATGATGGAGGTGGACGAACTCCTTTTGCAACCGAGAAGCATAAGCCATGGGCCTGGAATATTCAGATTCGTCTCTAGACGGACAAGAGTGGCATTAACTCGTCACATGTTTTACTGCTAAATGCGATCAAGAACGTTCATGAGCCTTCTTGCTTGAAGCGTTCATACTCACGTTGGGGTTCTTCTCAAAGTTTCATCATTTTACGGGTTATTGAACAGTATTTATGATGTGAAATTATTACAATGGATGCAGAAGTCGGAGATGTTCCAAAAAATAACAACTATGATGTCTCTAACTTATATGAGGAATACGGTGGAAAATAGAAAATACGCATCAGAACTTTGCTGGTTGACGCTATTTTACATGAGTTGCACAGTTCAGAGGCAATGTGATAGTAACATCAGTATATTGTTAAGATTTGCGGATCAGTTTATTCACAGGGATAGGAGATGAAAACTGCTTTACTAATGGACAAAAAGTGTACAATTTCTTGAGATCGTTTGTTAAAAACTATTTGGTTTCAAATGAAATGTATTTTAATAATAGAAACAGAGCACTTACTTGTTTCTCGTTATGATACGGATCTTGACCGATAATCACAACACGAATCTCAGAGAGCGGAGTTAGATTGAATGCGTTAAAGATCAGCTCACGAGGTGGATATACAGTAATACCCTAAACATACATCTAATAAATTTGAGAGTATACTTGGTCTCCCCAAGTGAAAAGCAAACTTTTTTGATTATGTGACAGCGAAGTATCATAAAGATTTACGGCTCATAATGGTTATTGCAGAGTGATACGCTAAAGTAAATTCTATTTTCTGCTCTGTAATTTTTGCAGCAGCTGTTGCGTTGCATTTCTTTAAAAACGGACACTTCGGACCGTTTACTGATTTTTTTTCTTGAATTACGTCGAATCGGCCACATTCCAACANTAATTTCAGTTGAAGGAAGAAGTTAGATCGTAATGAAATGTACAAATATGGAGGTTCAATTGATCTCGCAAAAAAATTGTGAATTGATAGGACGGAAATAAGCGACGGTGTCGTTCTAGAGCAGCAGTCATGGGTTCGAAAGCGAAAATCCGAGTAAACCCTTTCGCACTCCTTCTCCTCAGACATAAGAAATCATCAGCGTGATGCTAAGGATTGACTGCTCGCTTTTCCAAGGGTAATTCGGAATGCTCAACAGAGCAATGAATAAAGAAATTGAACAACCTTCTCACGTTCACCCTCTAGGAATCGAACAATTTTATGCATATATTCTTTACGCAGTTCCATATCAAGTGCTCGTCTCCAGCCAGAATCTGTCAGTAAACTCTTCAAGTGATCAACTGAAGCTTTCTGTGTTGGTGCGACTGGAAACGATAAAGAAACGTCTGAAATATTGCTCAATGAAATCTGTTGCTCATTGAATCCAATAATCAATGAAACAATCCACCTCTGTTATAATGACCATTACTATATCAATTGAATTATCCATTCACACGAAAGTGATGCAAATGAAACAAATCCATTGAGAATCATCAATAAATAACGTACGCTTTGTCGTCACTGTTTCTGTCGCAATTTTAGAGCACCTAACAGAACTATTTTCATCGCTGTGATTCAATGATGTCGTTATTTTACTATTCAAATCAGTTGCAATCTGCTTATCATTCTCATCCGTCACTCTCGTCTCATCATTCAATCCGTCAGTTGATCGCTCTTTTTTATCAACGCCATTCTCAACAGCACCCGAAGCAACATTCACCGAATCAGATGCTCCCTCAACGTGACTGATATGCGCGATGCTTTCATTTGAGGTCGATGCTGCTTTCTTTCTCGCAGCAGCACGCAAAAACATTTCTGGGATTTTGAGCGCTCCACACGATGAAGACATTTTCTGAAATTAATTGACTGCCTGCTGTATAGAAAATATGGCTCGTACTGGAGAGGTAAAGAGGCTTCGAGTGTGCCTCATTTCAGGGTTTCAGAAACCTCTTCCTCAAAACTCGTTTGACTGTATGACAACAATCAAGGGAACCTGTGTATTTTGATTTACTTCAAATGATTCATCAACCTTTCATAAACCATCACTCAGCACAAATTAAAAAGTTGAATTTGGCCTTATATGGTGAAGAAAGAAGGCTGTTACGCTATCATTAACAACAGTTTGTCACTTCGAAAATACAATTATCAGTGAAATTTGTAAAGTATTTTTAAATGGTGGAAATGCACCTTTTTTTACTGCACATTTCACTAGCTTCATGATGTTTCAGCGGTGCGTAAGTCAAATTCGTAATTATATTCTGAACAGAAAAGGCGATATACCCTACCGCCTATTCTTCTCCTCCTCTAAAACCACTATGACCGATTCATTTGGTGCAAACTCGAGCTTAACTGAAAATCGCTAGCTCGATTCGCATCATCCAATTATTTTGAATTTCTTTCATTATTCCCACAAAAGCATCCACAAGGCTAACGATAAGTAGCAAACGGAATAAGGAACGCTGCATCCTTCATTAAAAAATGCTAGAGAATATTCAGGGAAATTTTTTTCCATAACTATTACTGCATCAATACTCATAATGACCTACCGCAGAAAATTATAGAATATTCGATTAATCTAGAAACGACTGATAATATGTTCCAAAAATCCTCCATACCAAAAAGTGATTATTGTGAGTGAAATGAATCGGAAAATGCTCTTTTTTTGTGTTTGCCTCAAAATATTCAGTGTTTTGAAGCTGCATTCAAACAAATTCGTCTAAAACAGTGAAGAGTACAGACGAATATAAAGATTTATTCTGCACATACAAATCATAAATAACCACACATAAACAATGCTTCCGTATAAATTAAATATGATAACAGTTGTTCTTTTCTGTCGTTTAGCAGCCAGCATTACACCCAATCCAACAACTCAAATGAAAATCACCTTCAGTTAAAATGTTTTTCATCAGGCACGCACCACCATCAGCAGCAATATTCATCTCTTTCGCATAAAGCATTAACGTCTGTAAATAAGCCCTCAGACATGCACATTTTAAAGGTTTTTTCTTCCACATAAGGGAAATCTGCACAACTTCTCTTACTGAGAATATCACCTGCTCTCACAGCACATTCGAAGCACAAGATTGGACAAAGCAACATTCGTGTTCAGTCTGCAATCACTGTCATTCTTATTTCGTAATCTCCTCTATTAAATCAGTATAATCGTCATCATTTTATTGCTTTATTGCTTTTGTTTCGGTTCGCCGTTATCACTGAATGATATCATTACGCCTCACCAAACGACTATATCAACCCAAACCTACCGTAAAAGTTAAATTCGATAACGTTTCGAAACACTTTCGCTTCAGTTCTTCAAATAACTTTAAAGTTGAATATTTCCAACTGTCAGAGGATTGCTCAACTTATTTCACCACAAAAATCGAACATTTCATACCGCAATTTACTTCAGCCACACTGAACATAAATCGAGATCCATTCAGTGATGAATCGCATTATTAAGTTTATAAACAAATAGGTTAATGGATAGATCAACAATTGATCGAGAATAAAAACAACACAATATTTGACTATCATGAACAAACATAACTACGAATTTTACCATGTTCTGAAAAGCGAACGACAAGCTTATAGCTAAATAAGCCATAACTACGCAGACAAAGGATCTTCAAAAATTATAGATTTGCAAAGGGTGAAAACGCAATAAATTTCGGAAAATTGAACGATGGTACGGAAATCGCACATAATTAATGAAAACAAATATAATCTTAATCGCAGAATAAGAACAAAGAGATTCGATTAAAAATGAAAAGTTTCTTTCATGAGCTCATTTGAATTCTGCTGGCGCGCAAGCAAAATGTTTTTGAGATTCGAATTCAAAGGATAAATTTATAAATACAATTAACGTATCTCAAAGAATGATCAAGGAACAGAGTAAACGTGTTACCGGAAACAATACAACAAAAAATTTAGCGAATTCATGCAAACAATGTTGATAGAAAAACCATGGTTTCAGACATTCAAAAAATAACGAAGTAGTTTCACGAATAGACGAATAATTTGAATTTGCCACTCAATAAAATCATCTACTTTCATTACATCTTTTTTGCTCAACACAAAATGAATCAGAAGAATGAGTTTTCATTTCATCGAAGTGTTTGAATTAAGGTCAAATTTGAAAATGTTCAGCAAATCGCACTGGAGAAATAAATATCCGCTTATCTTACTTGATCGCACGTTATGGATCTCGAAGCAGACCATTTTTGGGTTATGTGTTAAAATTAGAAAATTGCAAACAACGCAGCAGAATGCTGTAGATGTCAACGCTTTTCCAGATACCGGACTGAAGGATCGACACTAGCTCTTTTACAACAACCAGCTGGTTTCCTGTAGCGATCAGTCCAAAGTTAACGATTAATCAGTGCTCCGTTCAAGTTGAACTTATTCAGGCAGCTTGAATATGACAGTAATCGAAGTTCAATATACCAATACATCTTTTCAAAGCAGCCATCTTCGTTAAACTCCTCAAGTCAATGAAACTCTAAACTGTTCCGCATATCCCAATCGCACTCTTCAACAGACCCATTTGCAGTAAATAAGCTGATAATAAAACGAATGATCAATGTGTAAATACCCACCCAGAATTTATTGTCATCAATCGAAATGTGCTCATAAATTCATTTCTCGTAATTCAAATGAACGATTCGAGTTGACCAGCGTACAATAAAAAAATGAACGACAAATTCGGCAGAAATATTTCAACTCAATGTTCCATCTTAATAACAGTATCGTGTGGATTTGGAGGTGGATTTGATGCCGATTGCGATGAAGATGATCGTTCGGAGGATGTCATCTTATGACCGGGATCATTTTCTGAAATGACAGTTTGGATAGCGATTGAATGGCACTGTTTCGGGCAATGACAAATAATAACATCGGTACAGAGATCCCATCTGCATCAAGTGCGTACTAGTGATTGAATAGGACATGCATTTTTTGCTGTTGAAAACAAGCAGCATTAGAATTCTGTCGACGTTTCGGCGTTTCACACCGTTTGCAGGACGGAGTATATAACAGGAATGAAGGGCGTGTTGAACAACATTCCGTGTATACCTAGTTAATGTGCACATTTCTGAGGTTTCATATGATCCGTCCTGATGGCATGAAACGCCGTGATCTCGACGATATTCTAAACGAATGAATATTCGCGTAATTGAAGTTTGTCTTCGACGAAATAACGAACTAAACATCTCGTCTAGATTAACTGCTTTAGCATTATACGTTGCGATGGAGATGTTCGCAGTATGATTTGGTTTTACCTTTTATCATAAACACACATCAGCAACTGCTAAAACCTTACATGTATTGCAAAATAAATTAATATGATGAAATGAAAACAATTTAAAACAAAATTAAAAAGTCACCAATAAGTGACGTAGTTGTGGGACAAGTGCTCGACGACTGTCGCATCAGAGCAACACCACCGCTGTTATCAACATCTGCTTCGATCTTAATCGTTTCAACTCTTTCAACTGCATTTGTCTCTGCAAATTCTTATGGTTACATATACTCTGTGAAAGCAGATTCACTTCTTGTCGATTAGTCAGTTGTTGCAAACAACTTCGCAAATTGTAACAGATCAAATGAGCATCATTGTGAGGGCGATTAATGTTAATAATGATGATATCAATGACAGTGATGAAGTTATTGTACAAATGATAATAACAGTAACAGTAATAATAATAATAATAATAATAACGACAATAATATTAGCAATTACGATGATAATAAGGCAAATCAATGAAAAAAATGACGAAAGACAGTCACCCATCGAAGGTGATGAAATATGAGGATCAGTTTTGCTGATAATGGATGAAGCAACACTATTGATGCGTGGTCGTGAAACCGTTTGACGTCGACGTGACGTTGACTGCCTGGATCTTCTAGAAAAATCATTTAATGAAGCAGTTGGTAATAATACTTTGATAACTTATAACTAAATGAGAAAAATCTGTTCAGTGGTTAAATGAGAACTTGAGAAAGGGTTCGAAACTGCTTGAAATTATCTGTGATTTAAGAATTTCAGGTCGAACGAATATCACTGAAAGTATCGAAAATGATATTAAGAGATAAGGGGAAGATAAGTGCTTACAGTATATAGTTATTGTCATTCTTTAGTGAATGAATAAATTAATGATAAAGTATGGTCGCAATACTTCTTTAACTGAAAACAGCAACAAAAACACCGGTAAGAGAACAAACTTTTTCGGTATTTTCGGCTTATCTTCAACAGTTTTGACTGAATTCGAATCTGAATCATCTGATGAATCACTCAGCTTTTCGTACTGAATGAGTCGATCGAGCAAGAAATTCTTATCTCGAGACAGCTTCAACAATTTTCGCTGCAGATTCCTCAGTTCTTCTTGATAGCATTCATTCTCCTGAACAATTCATTCAATAACACATTGATTTTGAGAAATAATGATAAAAATAACGATGCGTTGTTACATGCATTCGCGCCATTTCCAGCAATTACTTAATCCAGGTCAAAATGTATGTATTGTGTGCTAACAAACTAAGAGGAATTTAGCGAACGGCTGAATTCACCGAACAAAGGTATTCTTCAAATTTAATCGGTAGCAACTGAAGAGCGGCAAATGACTGATGAACATTTGAAGTGGATTGATGGAAAGGGCATAATCATTAAATGTCCATAATGGCTAATACGTCCATTGAGGTGATCAAGTTCATTCAAATGATAATTCCATGCCATGTCGCATAATATAAGCTATTAGAAAAAATCGCGATAAGAAAGTAAGTAACGATGAAAAAACTTACATAAACGAGAAGCTTGAAGCGCTTCTTGAGAAGTCGATATTGTTCTTTAGGTGTCTGCTGAGTACCGTTTGGTTGCTGCTGGTAGTTACTTGAATTCGAGTTGCCACTACCATTATTTTTATTAATGTTATAATTGCTATCATTATCATTGCTGTTACTGCTATTATTGTTACTGTTATTATTATGAGCATTAAGAACGCTCATATCTGAATGAGTCTGATTTGTAGATGATATCACATGGAACTGATTATTTGTTGTCGTAGCAGTATTAGAAGGATTGTGATTCTGATTCGATGATGAGTGAGTATTGATAGCATTCGTCGGAGTTCGATTATAGATAGTTTGTTGGTGGTGTTGCTGGGTTAGAGGCCGTGATTGATTAGTATTGATGTTGTTGGGAGTAGATTGGTTGGAAGAGGAGGATATCGATGCTGATACAGGTATATATGGGGATGTTGCAGCAGATGCTTGTTGTGATACTAATATATCAGTGTGATTCGGCGGGTGATACGATACTGAATTTAGATTAGAATTAAGCATTGATGAGGGCACAATGGTGGACGACTGTTGTCGTTGAATAGAGTTGGACGTTGATGATGTGATTGGAGGGGATTGAGTGATACTTGGTGCGTTGTTGAGTGATTGTGAGGTTGACACGGTGGGTGGATAGGTGTGTAGCTGGTTGGGTTGAGACTGCAACGGAGTGGTTGGCTGAGATAAACTGGAATAAGAGGAATGCGGCGAGGGGTTGGTTGGTGGAGTGACTGTGGCTGAAGACGATGTGGTGCGGTACAGAGGTGGTGGACCCATTACATGATTCACAGACGGTAGTGGTTGCTGCTGGGAAGAAGGTGGTGAGCATGACTGAGACTGAGCTTGCGCTGGAGGTTGAGACTGAGGTCGAGCTTGCGGTTGGAGTTGATTGTTCGAGGACGGTGACGTTGACGATGACCTCATGCGAGTGTTGCTTGGCATTGCCGGTAATGGACTCGGCTTTGTTGTGGGTGACGGTGTTTTAGACGACGACATTGCTGTTGCTGGTTCGTGCATTTCCAACCTTAATTTCTTGATTAAGGCCGTTCCGATGGATCACAACGCTCCACTTCAACAACCAAATATCTCAACAACACACCGAACCTCACATCTTTCATATAAAACTGATAACTATTGACTAATTCAAAAAAAAAACACTTCAATCAGAGAAGAATTTTGAATGTCTAACTATAAGACTAAATTTGAACGGAAATGCACATGAAAATAAACTAATTTCCACATTTCCATACAACAAAAACTGTTACCTACTAGAAGATTAACTAATTCAAAATCGCGAAGTATAAATGTTAGGCATGATATCAACCAGTTTTAGATTAGAACAGTAGCATAATTTTCACGAATTTATACTTTAATCAGCATTCATTATCAAATAAAAAAGACTGAATCAATTTCACATCAATGAAACATAAATTTGAGATAGAAAAATGGAAGGGATCATCAATTCAGGAAGATCAACTATTCGAACGTGTAAACGTGAATACCTTATCAATATAATGTGTACCCAATAATGACACCATGCAATCAACTCATAATTACACGATACATCCATGAGTTATTATATCACTATTCTCAAGCACAATACTTTTCGACTTGAGGAGTCTCTACATCCAATGCGTATGTAAATATGATCATTAACGGAGTACAACAGCTGCATCATACAACGACACATTGCAATAGATCAAGTAAATATTAGATTTATTCGTTTTAACCGATGGACGCAGAATGCAAACATCACTTCTAATGAGGAATTTGCACGTTTATGTCGTTACGTTGAAGAAGAGCAGATTTGTTGAATATCTTGAATGAATTGCGTAAATTCAGCAATCGGAATGCGTACGTTGTGATATTTGAAATTTCCTTTCGGGTCACTTGTTTTGAATTGTAAATTCACAAAAGTTTTTCCAATTGAATCCGCATCCGAACCGGCAACATTAACTGCAAATCGCATGAAATTTTATTTGTTATTCAAATTGTTAAGGCACATTAAAGAGCACCGAACCACCATGGACGGTTTAACAGCATTCTAAAACTGTACCAATGATACCCAGAGGGCGTTTAAAGATCCGTAAAAATCACCCGGACGCAGTCTAACTTCACCTCTTTGAGTTAGCCTCAGGTTTTATTTACGTTGATGTTCATGCTTGGATTTAGGTTTGCGCCCAGGCTTAACAGCTTGACCTGAATTTTCGCCAGTCTCTAATTGAATCTTACCACGTTTTTACAAATCAATTTAAACATCTGCAATACAGTGCTTTCAAATGCACTACTCAAAAATGATTCGATTTGTAAAGTTCATATCTAATTATGAGAATATTTCCGGTTGGTACGTAATCATGTAGAATACGTGCAAACTTTCGAGAATGAGAAAAACATAAGTTCCACACCTGAGAAAGCGTAAGAAACTCGCTCCAAACTTTCCATACTTCTACACAATCATTTCTCGAATTTGCATGAATGAATCCAAAGGTTAGACATGTCGCAGATGCATTTGTCGGTCACCCAAACAAAAATACGCCACCAATTAACATTCATAGTTCGCCAATCACGTCTGCAAAGGTTGTAGGCGTCTATCGCCTAACGTCCCGTCTATTTTACCTGAGCCGGTGCACTAAGCTATGTTCATCCATATCCGCTTGTGAAATTGTTTAAGTCGCATTCTGTCGTTCGATAAATCGTGAAGCTCGGTGAATCATTGATCCATTCCTTTCTCAACGACTACGTTGTTTGACCGTGGAAGTTTCATTATTTATCGAACGGAATGTGTAGTGAAATTTAAAACTTTCGTCCGGAATTGGGTTTTATTAATGCATTTCTTGATTTTAAGCAATGTTTCATTGAGAATTTATGTCAGAGATGGATGAAGCAAACTCCACAATCGATGGTCATGCTGATAAGATTCGGCAAATGCGTAAGGCACGTGAGAAGCTGTTCAAAAATAGTGCCAAACAAGATTCATGGAGACAAAGTTCGGGTTTAATCATTGTTAAAAAAAGCCTCCGAATGATTGTTATCGACTTTCTGACGATGATATTTTAACGAAAACGTATCCCGCTGATTAATGCGTAATTCCGTTTTCTTTTTCAAATATTTGTCGCAGAAACTGGTTCGCATACTGACGGGAAACTGGAACGATTACGATTATTCTCAAAAGCAAGAACTTCGAATTATGCATTTTGAATTGAATTTTTATGATCTACAAATTCAGGAAAACTGAAGAGGAAGCATATTCGAGAAGAGAATTTGTTAAAGCAACTGAAAGTGAACGATGATGTTTCGCTGAATTCAAAAAGCACGAAGGACGAAAAAGGAACTGAAAAACTTCTTGGTAATCAGAGTAAGTTAACTGTTTGTAATATTTATTTATCGTCAACAGCTTTATGCCAGCCTCCTTTCAAAATGTGTTAATTCTTAAGATAAATTCCTTCTAATAGTGTAATGGAAGCATAAAATTTGTTTGAAATTATTTCTTTAATTGTATAGTGAAATCGTTCAAATCGAAAGATATAGAGATTGATGAATTTGTTAATGCGTCATCCCTAAGTCAATTCTGTCAAGGTAAAGTTCCAGTACCATAAAGTCTGAACAATCTGCATTAGTTGCTCAATTCAAGAGATAAAGCTCACAAAAAAGAAACTGCATTTAAAGTTCTTCTTAGTCTTCCTACTGTGTTTTCGGGATGAGTACATCTTTCGAATTAACAACTGAATTAAAGGATGATCTGTTCGTTCAGTTGATTATTTCGGTTTTTGTTTGATGCCCCAATTGACATTCGTGGTTGCTGACTCATTCTTTAATGCATTCATTAAATATTCATGTAATCAGTATGCATTTCAGTTTTTTTTGTCAATTTGCAGATAAATCATACCGTTTGAGCATTGCGTTACCCGGATCGATATTGAATAATGCACAAAGTCCCGAGCTGAGAACTTATCTGGCTGGACAGGTATAAATTCTATTCATTTCGATCAAACGAAATCCAAATTTGAGAGAACTCTACGCGATCAAAATCCGTAGTTTGCAATCGAAATGAATACTATGGATAGTATTCATATTTGCGGATGATTGCTCAAAACAATTTATTACGAAGAAAATTTACGATTCGCTTTTTATCTCTGAATTTTAGTGATTACGTTTGGTAGAGCATTCGTTCATACTGTTCTCTTTTCGTTGGAAATTCATTGTGTGCCATTATGAGACTGAATTCGGTGTGGTTATCATTTCAGATCGCTCGTTCTGCAGCTGTTTTTTGTGTTGATGAAGTGGTGATCTTTGATGAAACGGCTCGTATGAAACCAGAGTATGTTGTTTTGTTGGAATAACGTTGGTTTATATATGGATTATATGTTTTGTTGGTTTATATAAGACCTGTCTCCATTTATGGAAGGATGTCGTGAGCTCGAACAGAATTAAACTGTGGTGATTACTGCATTTTAGCGTTTATTTCAAGAGTGTGTTTACTGACTTAATTTAATTTTTCCATGCCGTGCCACAGTTTCGTAAGTTTCATTAATGAAATTTAGAGAACAAGAAGCATATTACACGGGTAAATGGTACGCCGAGAAACCGATTCGAGAAGGAAATGTCGAATGCAATTTCCATATGGCTCGAATACTTGAGTTCTTGGAATGCCCACAGTATTTGAGGAAAACGTTATTTCCTTTGCAAAAATCGTTGAAAAATGCAGGTCAATACTGATTACTCATTTTGCTTATTTCTTCTATAATTAGTAAGCCGGAAGACTTGGCGTATTTATTTGTTTGTTTCATATTTCTTGAAAAAGCTTTAAAAACTGGAGGGTTTTGCTTGCACTAGTGAAGTTCATTTGGAACCTTCATTAGTTAACAGAATTTCCAGAATTGAAGAGTTACAACGTTTATTGTTAAAATTTCCGTAACAATAATTGATTGTATGTTATAATCAAAGTCATAAATCTGAACGGGTTGATGAAATGTAAACTGATTCAGTCGATTGAAATCCGAAGAATAGAGCTTTGATACAAGTCATCGCGAATGCGGCAATATGAGTGATTATGATGAAATTGTGGTAGTAGCAGTGTAGAGTAATGTTATTTCTAATATGATAATAATGAGCGATGCTGAAGGTGTTCTCAACCCACTGGATTGTATGCATCATTTACGTGTTACTGATATGTCAATTTCGTATCGTGAAGGAGTGGTTCTGAATAAGCCGGTCAAAAAAGGTCGCGGATCACTTTGCTATGTCGGTTTGGAAAAGGTTTTTGTTTGACTCATTTTTGTCTTTTTAATAGCCAAATAATTTTATGAGTTATCAACAAGATAATCTTTCATTAGCGAAATTGTTCATAAAATGGTTTGCATTCGTGATTACTCAGTTGAATTCCATCTGCCTTTATTCATTGTCCGATAACTCTAAGTTTGAATAATTTTTCAGGAAGTACAGTTGGAAAATGAAGTGAATTTACCCGCTGGAACGCGCGTCACGGTTCAACTAACAAGCACAAACCTTGGTATTATTCTATTGTCTAATTGTTTTGCATGTACCTGCATCGCCGTCTTGTGATGTATTGGTGTATTTGTGTTCGACGTTGAAACTGTTCGAACGATGGAATGTTTTTGTGAGTTGAATGTTTGCAGTGGATTAGTAACATGAATTTGCAGATGCGAATCGATTACGTGGAGCTGTATCGAGCGCTCGTCGAGTTCGTGAGGAGAGTGGTGTCTACTGGGGTTATAGTGTACGTATTGCATCGTCTCTGTCAGATGCACTCAATGGCTCTGAATATGACACTATCATTGGCACATCGGAACGAGGTGAACCCATCGAGAAATTTCAGTTACCTTTGAGTGAAAAAAAGTGAGTGATTTTTGTTTTGTTTTTTTTTCAAACTTTTGAAATGAGTTTGAATCGGTAATTTGAATGAATAATGGCAATCACTTTAATATTACATAATGTTTGTGATTCTTCACAACTTTTGTCAGTTGGAATCATTTTGTTGAATATAAATGATAGTTTTCAATGGGAATGTGATACGATATCAGGATGATGAAAATTTTTATTTCGATAAAAAGTTTCAAAGAGAAATGCAAATATTTGAAAATATCAGAAGTTTGATTGGAATGAAAGTGACTGAGCAGAAATTTTAGTCGAATTTTGTTGGTATTTGGTGGATTGAATGGCTTGGAGGCAGCAGTAGATGCGGATGAAAATATTCGACAAACTGATCCGGCACAGCTTTTCGAGCACTACGTTAATGCAGTGCCTGAGCAAGGAAGTCGAACTATACGCACCGAAGAGGCCATTCCGATAACGCTTTCTGCCATCAGAATTAAGCTGGAATCTCTCTTATAGTCGTTTGTGTTTGTTCAAGTTTTATGTCGGATTGATAATGTACCAATGATTAAAATTATTCTCAAATCAATTCTATCGTTACGGATCGATCGATGACAGTGAACATTATGTGGGTAATTGATACATTTCCTCGGAAATTGAGTAGACTTTCGCTGAGTTTGATGTCGACTCATATATCGAAATGCCTTTTGAATGTAACAAATTTGATATAGTAATTTGTTTAGGAACACTTATAATTAGCAATATTCTTGGCTATTTCTCTTGTTTATCAAATAGTATTTTGACAGATGCGTATAAGATTTTAACTTGTTACCTCATTGACGAAAGAATCTTTATGTTATTGAAATTCTTATTTTGTTATACTGATTATTTGTTATTGCCTGATATTGATATTAATGAAAAATTTTCACTTAAATGTGGTGTTGTTTCATGTAAATATTATGTGTCATAAAGGTTTTATGGCTGAATGGCTGTTATCCAGTTATGACTTATTTCTGTTTTTGGCCACTCTTATCCACTTTCAGCTGTTTTATTGAGCTTTAACATTGCATATGTAATCGTAAAATCAAATAACCTAGCATTATCGGGTGGTTTGTGCGTGAGTGATTCTGAACTTCACTCTTGCTTGTTCGAACTAATCATTTGCTAACTCTCGATTTAGTGATTTCTTGCTTTGATGAGACTAATTTTGTTATTATGATACGAACAAAAAATCTATATGAGATCAATAATATGTGTTGCTTATGAGGTAATGCTTCACAGTGTTCTTGTGCCATATGGATAGTATCACTAAAATTGTGTCGTTCTTATTTTTTCAAGTATTGTTGAAAGCGTCAAATGTTTATGTAAGGATATTGTTAATGAGCAATTCCATAGCAGAAAGTATTTGTTTCTGTTCAACTCAGAATTGTGAATACTTTGTTGCAGTTCATAATTGTGGTCAGTCTTTATGACCAAAACTAAGTTGCGGCGAGCAAAATAATTCACACTTCCATTCTCAATATCTTTCGTGTCCTTTTCACTAAAACTTATTTCGAAATCAGTTTTCGATTCTCAGTTTCCATCCTGGTCCCACTTTGTATCATATATCATTTATTGGTTTTGAACGATTCATCTAATACACTTATGTTAGAAGAAAAAATGTATCGGCATCGCACCAGAACCGCGTGAAGCTGTGCACAAAAGTTTCCAAAGTTCATTTTTCGCATTGAAGAAGTGATCAATTCATTTCTTCCCAAATAGGACACGTTCAGCTACGCTCAGTGCTTTTATGGCCAGCTGTAACTGGTGATGAACATTGCAATATCCATTATTATCGTGGTGAAACTAAGACGTTTCAATTGTTTCAGTTAAACTACTCGCGATGTCGTTACGATCCTATGGATTACGTCAACGCATATCAGTTTTGATGCGGAATAAAATGCGTTTTGGGGTGATGATGAAGCAGTTGTTTGGAGGAGCGAAGGTGGGTTAATTTGAGTTGTTTTCGATTTTGTTATTGTGATGAGTTTGTTTTCCGCGTTTGTCTTTAGACACTGCGCATTGTGCTCGCGTTCATTCGATTGTTATTTGTGCTGCTGCTGCTTCACTAAACTTTGACGCATGTCGAATGGTCTTTACTTGTTGATATTTCTAATTTTCGCGCAAAATTCCAATTTTATCATTTTTCAGAATCGTCCATTTCTGCAAAATTCATTTCTCATTTCAGCACTTGCACTCATTTAATAATGCAACTTTATTGTTCGAAATCAAATTCCCTTGAACTTCCATAGTCCATAATTGAATAATTCTTTCAAAAATAGACACTAGAATAATCAAGGAAAGAATTTTGTAAGGAAACTAATGAAGGAATCCATATGAAAAAGCCTCTTTTGCAGCACCCATCGAAAAAGTAAAACGATTTCGCTTTCGTTACTCTTTTTATTTTGTTGTATAATATTTATCACTGACCGTTGATCATTCCTCTGTCAAATATCATGATCAAAATTCAGTCGATTAAACGAGTTTTGCTTTGCTACCGTTGTGAATTTATTTGATCCCTATGGAGCATCATTGATATTACCATCTTCCCAACTGATCAGCGCATCTCTCGTGCAGTTGAACGTTATCTTAATGGTATACCTGATTTCACTCTTGTCCTTGAAAAATGAGTGGACAAATTTATTTCATGCATAACATGTTCGATCACTGTCAACATGTATAGATTTATTTATTTTCGTCGTAAATTTATTGTTTATTCTGGTAGTGATGAAATTTACTACGATATTTATTGACGCATGAAACTAACGAGATGATAAGATAAGCGTTAGAAAGGAAATTCATCTGAATAAGAAATTTTCAGCCAACAAAATGCGAAATTGTTTAAAAAGATAACCAACAAGTCTCAAATGTATGTGGCGATTAGAATTCAGCGTATTCAGTTTAATATCACGAGTTGTGAGGTGTGCGGTACTGTTTACAAAAGCATCAACAACGCTATAGTCCAGAAATGTGCCGCGAAAAAGTTTGTGTGCTGTTGAATTTCATTTCATAGTGTTGTTTTCTCAAGGTTCAATTGACAATCTGATAGTAATGCAAAATGATCAGTTAGTGAGAGCGAAAGATACATATTTTGCAATCGAATATCGCTCACTTTAGTGCATAGTCATTCACCTTTTATGAAGAAAGTGTTTCCATGATGATAATATACCTCGATTAGATTGCATACTCACCGAATTGATCACGCCATCCGTTCACAATCAGCACATGATTTATTTATCTGCATCATATGCGTCTTTTACGTACCAATAATACGTAAGCAGTGCATTTGTAATCGATGTTGAAAAGATACGTTTGCGAGAATTTACTATTTTTAGCTTTGATAAAGAATGAAGAATCTTTTTTACGCACGACGCAATACCACCAAATAATGAAGAAATCCGTTGGTTTTATGAGTAATATAAGAACAATATAATCAAAAGATTCATGATGTGATCAAAAGATTCAGATTCATGATTGGCGTATGGTGATATGATTGAATCATGTTGATACGATTACTAGTGTGTGTGCACGAACAGGGCTGAATTAATCTGACTGAAGTTCAAAGCAAAGAATAAGGCGCGGTATGAGAGAGATCGGGGTCTACCCTCTCCCCCCCCCCCCTATTCACTTTGTTTCTCAATGGAGTCCCCCCAGCCAAAAATTTGCTCCTCTACAAACACTAATGATAATTGCTTTCGTGCATTCCAGGGCCGCATTGCCGAGCAGTGTTTAATCTGATTGTAAGAGTCGGCTAGGGCAATATCATCTTAACCAAACGACCCTCTTTAGGTCTACGCAAATTTCAAATTAGACTTTGTCCATATTTACTGGGACAGATTTGTTGACTTGGTTAGCGTTGTTGATAACATCTGCTATGAGTTCATATATCTGGTGACATAGGTGATAGTATTATGGATAAAAGCGAGGGAATAAGGCAATAAGCAGCAACAGTCGAGGGATGCGAAGCATTCAATGGAAGCAGACACTGACCTACTGCGCTCAGTGATTTTAGACTCGAAAAATTTTTGCTCTCTTTTCGGGCTTTCGGTCCAACTGTCACACGAGTGTCGAAAAGTCACCGGAAATATTATCAATATTCTACCACTTACCATGTACATATATCAGTGTTTCTCATGCTTGGAAGCTCCCTCACCCCTTTCGATGGTTTAGCAGGGCGTATTCCTCCCCCCCCCCCCCCCCCCCCCCCCCCCCCCCCCGCCACTATTACGAGACTTCACTGTTTTCGCGCATAACGTCAGGAACAGATCGAAATTGGTGCGGAAAATCCTCGGTGGCGTGAATGAAATTAATTTTCTGGAATGAAACAAGTATTTTCAGAACTTTATATATCATTCTTAGAAAGAATACGAACCTCAGAAATTTACATGGAAAAGCAATGAAAAAAACAGTTGTCTGTGACGAAAAGATAGAAATTTATCAGTAGGTTCATTTATTCATGAAAGTAGAAGATGTAATGAAGATTCGAGAAATCCTGTTTGAGATGAACGGAATGGCAATCGTTTCATCAAAATTGTAGTGAAGGAATAGGTAAAAATTCATCAGTCGATGAATTTTTCGATGAATAAATTTATTCAATTCATAGTCCGAAATGTCCACAGTGGATAATATATCCCCCTATGGGAAACACTGATATTTGAATAGGTAATGGCTTCATCAACTGCTGACGTTTATCGCTAACACGAAATGGCGTCTTTATCAGTACAATACAAGTACATTCACAATTTAAACTAGATTTATCAGATATGTAATGTTACTCCATCCGTGTTGGTTTTCATCAGAAGAAAAAAAAACGATAGCGGAATCAACAATTTGAAAACTGTCACGTGAATTGTTCCTATAGTGTTCTCGGGTAATGTCGTTCTATCCTAACATCCTCCCATAGTTCGAACTCCAACAAAACATCGTCTGATGACCAGTAATCGACATTAAACATTCATGCCAATAGAGCACGATCGATTGATCAATAATGTCTTCCAGCTTCTATGTCTTTCTAATTTTTACAATGAAGTCAACGCTGTGGTTATCTTTATCATGTTTCATTCGTAGCTCGATAAAAGTTTGTGCTTCTTTCTCATCCGTATATCCAATCTTATGATGATTAGGTCAATTCCTATGTCAAGTGTCGTCGAAATTCCAGTTGTGAGATTTGCGAATGATATTGGCATAATTCGATAGAACGAAGCTAGTGACGATTGAGATCTAAGGCAGTTGCTCTCATAAGGAGGAAAGTTCCCTCTTGGAGTTAATTTGAGCATACAGCGGTTGATTGATTAACAAAAACTAATTTTTCCATAGTTGTTCGATAACGTTTTCAAAATGCTTGTTTGGTCATGAGAAATTGATTATTTTGATATCCGTCGACGAATTCTCACCAGTCAACATGCTGATCAGTGCATTCATTTCCTAACTTTGTTTTGAATAATAGTTCATCAGAGGGGGTGGAATCGTTGTCACGTAGTTTGTTGTGTGATTGTGAGTGAACAGTTGTGGGAATTGTTGATTGAATAAATTAGTAAGCGAAGTTGTTTGTTTATCCAATATCAGTTATTTACAAGACGTTTTCGCTATCCTTGAAATACACACGAATGGATCATGTATCCAAATAATCGGCCTTATCACCTTATCGCTTTCTTTCTCTTTCAGCTACACCAATCATGTTCGCATGAAACTGACATACACTCAGATTTCATCTACTTTTCGCACATCATTTCCAATCGAGCAAGTGATATATCCATCATTCACTTTGCTTCCTTTTCAGAAACGTCTTGACCCACAGCTAACATCCAGTTCAATTAATGAGTCTTCTAGTATTGCCTTATCCTATTTCTGTCGACAAATGATCAACCCCAGAAAGTAATGTCTAGACTAACCGTGAGTATCGCATCTTCATCATTCAAAAATTATCTCCTCCTTTGCAGCAGTCAAAATTCTCATTTCATTTCTTTCTCTACCATCAAATTATCATCGTTCAAAATCAAAACAGCCAAATCTGACTCATCGAAACGTTCACTCACTTAGTATCGTCTCCAGTCAACGCTGTAATTCCTTTCTTCTCTCATTTTCTATTCCCTTCCATTATTGGTGTTTATCATCAGCAACACTTATCACATATGGTAATGATATGTATCAACAATTCACTGTTTCAGCATAATATGAGCAAGATTCGTAGCAAAATGTATTCATTCCTTTGTATAGTATATGTTCCGTCGATATGAATGGTTGTTATTCTCTTTGCATCACTATTATTGAGTTTGCGTAATACCTAACTGCGTTCAACTATTCATTCATTCAGCCATTAAACTATCAAATCATCACGAGCATATAAATGCCTCTCTGTTATCACTGAATATCACTCACACCATCGCTCGTTTCTGTCTCGCTTTGCGCATTCAAAACGACATTCTCCGATCTCGAAAACCGTCAGCTTTCAACTAGCCTGAACCCACTGCTTCTTCAACATATCCAAAATTTACGTAATACCTTAACAACTGTAACAAAAAGGAAAATATATTCCGCAGTTACAATGGAGAAACTATATGAATGCAAAAATGCTGTATGGAAAAGGATCGTCTATTTTTATTCAACGCGTTATTGCAGAATGGTTGTCTTACTCGTAGTTCTCGTATCACAATTATTGCAATTGGTAAGTTTAATTTCATTTTGTTTAAGAGCAGTCTCTTATCGAGAACGCTTTAGCGAATCTTATCTGTGCAACAAATTCGATCGCCCACATCGGTGGCTGTTTCTGCATCAATTTACATGTCCTCTCTAATTATGTCTGTGAAACTTCCTTGAGAAGGTTCAAAAATTCCTTATGAAGGTTCAGATCAAAGGGACCCATTATGTTCAAAGCGTGAAACTGCTAACGAGAAAGGAATTTTGTATACTCTCAATTGCTCTCAGTGGGAAAGTGGAGCTCTTTAGACTGCCTACTAATTATAATTAATTCCGTTTTTTGTGCTGTGAAGAATTGTCATTCTTCAGTGCAACAAATAGAATTCAGTCGATATCAGAATTAGAGCATTTGCAACAAATAGAATATCAAAATTTCTGAATTTGAAGCTGAATAACGTGAGGAATGAATTAATGTGATTTGTTCGAGATAGTTTTATGTGATCAACGGAGATCAGAACAACTTGCATTCAGTTTGGGGAAAAAAAGCAGTGGTGATATTATGAGAGCCAAAAATGGAAACATTTTTCACATCCAATTGAGGCTTTCGTTTATTGTATTCTAGTCTTAATTGCGTGTGTGACCGTATAACATTTGATGAAATCATCGTGCTCTTTTGTTTGCTTGTGTCTGAAACACACACTTTTTTTAATCACTTTTCTTTTTAGAAATGAAACGTTTCCATTAGCAGTCTTCTTTTGTCTCATTTGTCAGTATGTTCAGTTTTTATTTCTTCCAGATAATGCCAGTGCATCATCGACAACAGCTTATTGCATCTAGAATTATTTTCCATTCACACAGTCTAATTTGAGTGTGATTCAGAATTAAATATCTGATCGTTCCCGTAATGTCATTTTGATATTCACTTTTTTCTGTTCATCTATCAGATTCCTATTATATCACCTTATTACTAAGTCAAGATTCGTTCAGCGCCCTCGTGTAGTCCAGATTCAGACTTATAAAAGGAGAAAAAAATCAGAATTTTAACGGTACAAAACTTCTGAATGACGTGTGAAAGTCAGGCAGGATATTAATGCATTGAATCTGTTTTTGTTGGGATTATTCACCGCAATGATTTGAAATTAAAATTCGATGATAACGCAGTTTCGCGATAAATTAACAAAATCTCAATCTCTGACATTAAGTGAATTCTTAAAGACATTAAAGTTTGTTTTTTTTTTGGGAGGAATTCCGATGTGATTGGTTTTGAAACGATGATTCATATGAAATTGATCTGAACCGGTGAAATAGTGGAGTGAATTTGAGGGGCATCAGTGGAGGTATAGGCTTACTAACAAACATCAAATCAATGTCAAAGATCAGTAATAATTTCGAATGTTTATCTCGGCATTCTTCTCGATTTTATGCTCAGTGATCAGCACTAGCAATCTTTAATAGTGCAATCTTTAATACTAACAAGTTTGAGCTTGCAGTTGAGAATGCAACTATAATTCCGCTTTAATCATCCGATTGCGTTGAAATTTTCATACGTCTCCATCGGGTAATCACGTGATCGCGAAATTGATTCATTCGTCACCACTGCACGGAATGCGAGTTTTGCAACCGAATTTCTCAATAGAGTTAAACCTCGGTCGATTTGAATTGCTGCCTAAATTATTGGCTGGTAATAGCAAGGCGTAAGCCTCACTAAACGTGACTCTGAGCTCATGCCTGGAACTGATTTCGGTCAGCGGAATCCTACTCGTTTCAATGTTCATCTTGTTGCAAAGCAGCGTCGTTTGCTTTTTTTTTCGGTTAACTTTAATTACGTTTGGGAGGATGACGCAAAGGAGTTGGCCAAAACATGCATCATAATTTGTAATTTCACTGGGAGGAACAAGTTCCATGCGCACATCACCGAACTGCAGTGTAGGAGATGTCACAGTGTCATCATATTGTCATCTTTAAAGTCTTTTAGACCAATCCGTTGAACTCGACTCAGCAGCAACTCATCCAACATTCGTCAACGCATAACTCAACACAGTTCTCATCTTCAACTTCCCCAAAGAATAACGTCTTTCTGAAATGGTTGGCTGCCAGCGTATTAGCGGCTGGTAGTTCGTTGTATATTTATGGATTCTTTATTCCTGACGTTCGTGAGCTTCGTGATAAGAAACACTATTATTCGGACTGGAAGGTTTGTATTGTGATATCTTATTAGGAGATTATTTTCGTAGGTAACTACCGTCCTTCACGCCATCTTGTCTTTCGTAATAATGGGCTGTCATTGTCCAGTTTTCAAATGAGGCTGGAACAATTTGCGAAATATACTCCCTCCCTCCCCACATCTCTACCCCAGCTAGGATAGTCACCTTGGATTCCCATTTAGCCACTCCAATATTTCAGATTTGACCGTGGATGTAATGACGTGATTGGTGAATTTTATAATTGTTTTATAAAATCCACCAATCACGTAATTGTGTTTCATAATTGGTGCTAAATTTCACTATTATTAGTTTTTTAAATCGCTATCTGTGCGGACCCGGGGCTGCAACGTCGAGGGTATTTAGACTCTCCATCCCTATATTTCCTATAAATTCTGTCCGTGAACTTCCATAATGGTTCACTTTTGATTGGGATCGGAACAGTTCGTGAAATCCATCCTCCTTCCCCCTCCAAAGTGCAACAGTTTTTTAAAATTTTCACAGCTGCGTGTATGCTGTCTATGTATTCCGAGTTAACTGATTCATTGTATTTTGAGATACGTGTGCTGTGCTCATTACCATTGAATGCGATGTCAAGATTCACTGGTGGTATTGCTAACACTCACATTCCCGGTTGGTTGAGACCGACGTTATTCGGTTGGTCATTCTACGCATCAGTTGTCAATCACATCTCTCATTAACAATAATTATTTTATGACATTCTAAAATATCACATTTTCGTTCATTTATATCGCTGTGTTGATTACACCATATCGAAGTGTCGACGCTTAGCCCCACCATCAGGGTTGCAACGCATTTTATCGAGAGCGTGGCTGAAAAGTATTCAGTTTATTCATGAAATTCAAGGTTGGTATGTTCGAACTTACGATTGTCGGATGGATGAGGCGCTGATCGAGGACTTATCTGCATATCCGACATTCGCAGCATTTTTCAACAGACCCTTAAAAAAGATTCTGCGACCTATCAGTGATTCCGCTTTGGTTCGTTTCTTTTCTTCTTTATGGGATGTTAAGAGAAGTTGCACTGACTATCACTCTTTTAATACAAATAAGCTAGGCACACCATTCGTATTACGAACTGCGATTAATCCGCCGCTAGACGGCATTGTCTGATTCATTGAAGTTGCTCGGATATGAAACCATCAGTTGTAATCATTGTAGGGTATATTCATATGGTTTGTTCAAATAAAAGATTTTATTGATTCAGCCCAAATTCACTTCATTCACAGACGCCATCTCATGCATCATTTACTAGTCACATCATTTGTCATTATTTTTTGACTTGTAAAATCAGGCTACTTTGAAGAAAAATATATTAGTCAAATATCGTAACAAGAAATTTTGTGGAAGTTTTTATTGGCTTTCATGAGATGTGTTATGCAATTTTTGTATACTTTGATATCAATGTTCATTCTTTTTAACATTTCGAAAGTTTATCGGTTTCAGAATATGGTTCAAAATTCACGATATCTGCGCATTTGACTTGCACTTACGCATATATTGGTTTCATTCATACTGTTTGATATTTCAATTAACCACTTATACTTGTCAGGTATCACCGGCTGACGGAATAGTGGTTCATTACGGTAAAGTTCATGATGGACGAATTGAGTATGTGAAAGGTCATGACTATGATGTCAGCGAGTTTATTGCACCAAGTAAAACAAATAACAGTCCGGAAGACGTTGAATTAAAGCTGAGGGTAATTGCAGCGTTCATTAGTTAACAGTTGTTTTCAATTTGGCCTTGACACTTCATAAATTATCGTTTTTATCATATAATTCCTCCTCATTGATATCGCAGCCTGATAAAACCCTCAGTAGAGCTGAACGCGTATCGTCATCCAAAGTAAACTCAAAGAATTTTATCGAACATTTTTGAATGGTCTCCGAGGAAATTTACTGCAAATTTCGAGCATAAATTGGAATGTTTATTTCAGGATGGTAAAGAGCTTTATCAAATTGTTATTTATCTTGCACCGGGTAATTATCATAGCTTTCATTCGCCAGCAAGCTGGATATCTCAGCGAGAAGTTCATTATCCAGGTGCGCGTCATCCACTTCATTATTCAGCTGATTAATTGCTCTTGTAATCCTATCATATTGAATGTTGAGTTTGCTTGACTTTGTCACGATTGGACGTGTCCATCACCAGTCTCTGACCAGTATCTAAGGTCATATAAGAACATGCAAAATGTCGACCGAGATTTTTCGTACAGATGCAGTATTTTATTGTTGAAAACAGTCATTAATCGATCATTATCTAAAGGTCTATTGCTATCAGTTCGACCGAGTCTACTCGAAAGGTTTCCATATTTACTTTGTGTCAACGAGAGAGTTGTTTTGAATGGACACTGGAAACATGGATTCTTTTCGCTCAGTGCTGTTGCAGCCACTAATGTCGGTGATGTTACAATTGATGCGGTACGTGCGTTGTTGTTTCGTTATCAGTCTATCAAAAAAATTTGCATTTTCTATGAAAATCTGCATTATCGTAGTGTACACAATAACAACAGCTATATCATTGATATAGCAGGACCAGTAGCACCGTGTACAGTCTATATTCATTTACTCATTCTCAATAAATATGAGCGAAACAATTTTTCATTCATGAGTTTCAAATGGAATCCACTTCTCACGCAATTTACCAATTATTTGGGTGAAATTTTAGGATCCAAATTTGCGAACTAATATAAAACGTGCCCAAATGGAGGGTAATAGGTGTTCGGCAACAACGACATCATTAGTGCATAGTTATGAACCTGGTGAAAAAGTTGGAGAGTTCAGGATTGGTTCGACCGTTGTTATTGTTAGTTTGAGTGTTGTTTCATTTACTCATTCTTTGCGTGATTTCTACGAAACAGAATTAAATATTCAATTCGATTTCACTCGAAAGTGACGTTTTAGTTTTAGTGATTTGATTGGGTTGCTTCAAACGGTATTTGCCAAACTGTGCTCTTCATTCTCAGTAAGTGATCAAGAATGTTAAAAAGAAAAAGAAAAATTCTTAAACGACTTTTATGAAGGGGAAGGTTGAGTTTTACGTTCAAGGAGAATGACAGGTCAACGTTTGAGAACAACTGGCGTAAGGGAGAATAACTTATCTCGTGAAGGGACGGTGATGAAATTGTATTGCATTCAAAATTTTATCGAAATCAGTACTTCCGAGATCTTATATTATGAGATAATTCATAATTCGATGTTTTGTTTCGGCTCTCGTTTCGCCATCTCATTGAAGCATTCAACGTTTGTTATCGGTTGACTACGAATGTGTTCGGAAATTTTGTGTGAATTCCTTGAAGTATCGAAGTGAATTTGATAAATTTAGATTTTCGAAGCACCTCCGACAATAGACTTCGCAGTACGAGCTGGTGACAATATACGTTATGGGCAGAGTTTGGTAAAATGCGGAGTTTAAATGCGGATGCCTCTTTGTTGAATATTTTTTTATTTGTAACGATTCTCGTTCGTCGAAGTCCCAAACTGCATTTATATTTGTGTTTCATCGTTTAAAGTTGGTGACAATTGCTACAAAATACTTTCGGCAGTACGTTTTCGAGTGGACTTATTGCAGAACGAAATTCGTGAGTATTTGCATTTCTAAAATGATGGTCACCACTAACACTTAATTGATTTCTTTGTCGAATAAGCAATCGGTCATAAACGGTGTAGTGTTCCATTTGATGGAAAACAAAAAACTCTGCTTTTTGAACTATTTATTCTTTCAGAAATTGTTCTGCTATATGTTTAGAAGACGGGTACCATTCTAAAACTTCCATGCTCAACTTATCAAGTATGTCATACAAACTCGTGACCAATTGGCCTTTGAGGGGCAGTGAATCTTATAGTTAAGATGGTCTCTTGCAGGCAATTTCTGTTCACTCGTTAATGAAAATTTCCTTCAAACGCTCAAATATGTGTTTGCAAAACGAAATGCATCTTCAACTGAATTTTCGCCTTCTCTGATTATGAGTTTGATATTATGTTTGATAGCATAGTATGTCGTGTTGATTGAACTGCAAATGGTCGTATTGTGTTGTGTGACAGATTTTGTATGTGATGTCCGATTCACTGAACGTTTCTCTCATTGTCGCATTGTTCTAGTCAGTCGCATGATTTTTATAACATATCTTCGTTTACTCATTGACCGCTCACCTCAGAAGTATGTTATCACGGTTATAGGTTTTTCAAATTAAGTACAATACTTTGATTGTATTCTCCTCTGTATTGAAATTTTTTTGGTGTTTGGAAGATCACAGTGGAGTATGACATGTGAAGTCGAGCAGATATAACAGAAGCAGTCAGAGACGTTCCCGCGGAAGCACCGATCAGTTCTAATTTCTGCTACTGTGCCATGGTATTCATTCCCAAATCGGGACATAGCCTTTCCCATTTCTTTCATGCATACGCCACTGGTCCTCAATTTGCTCACAATCATTACTTATCTCATAAATTGTGTTGATGAAAGAGTGTATATTCACTTATCGATCTTATTGTACCTACGTTTACAAGTTATCATTTTTTAAGTAAACTTTAATGTTCCATGATATGTGACGATGTCGGAGAATATTAGAAAAGTTTAAATACTGAATCTTTGTGCGATCCGTTTTTTGTGAATAATGCTATCGCGTTTTTTTCTGCTCGTCAATTTTCTTGAGTCAGGCCGGGATCATGGTAAGGTTATTCCTCTATAAGGAACAGAAGCATGAGATATAGTCCGTGGTAATATTACGATGCTAACTTTGGCGTTGTATACTAACAATAAGGTACAGGTATCCTACTGTCGAATTTTGTGTAATAGATGTTTGCTCAGAATATTGATTGTTAGGGCGGAAATGTTTAGCATCTGGAAAAACTGAAGAGTTTGGCAAATTATATGATTGAATCTTTGAAATATGTTATCCATAATTTTACGCAACACATGTCAATGATCTTTATCAAAATGCTTTCATTCTCACAAAGAAAACACTCCTGTGAGACCATTAGAAGATCAGTTGCAGACAATATACAAATAAAATACAATGCAGCCAAAGACTTTACATATATTTCATTCTGAGGACTGGATTTGAAGCTCAACGATTCGAACCGAGTGGGAATAATTCGAAACAGACGTAAAATTGCGGCTTATTTCCTTGGTTGCAGTTCAGCTATGGCTAACATCAACTCTGAGTCTTCAGCGGTCACCAAAGAAACAATTTTTCCGGAGTAGTCAATATTGGACTGCATTTCCAAATGCAGTTGTAGCACAATAAAAAAGTTCGAACCAATTATAACAATATAAAGTGCCATATTCCGTCTTAGCAAAAACTTTTTCGAAACCTATAAATTTAACTTTATCAGTTCTAGATGATTCCTTGCGGTCATTGATTAATTAAGAAAGACAATTGCATTTGAGTGTGAATCGTGATTTACTAATACTATGTACTGGATATTCTTGTGTCAATATGGAATTAAAATGAAGAGTATTGCTCTTCAAAGATTTTGAATGACACGACTTTCATCAAGAAACAACTGATAACCGAATTGTACATAGGTTTCTGCAAGATTATTGCTAGGACGTACGCTGCAATACAAATCTAAATGAACTCTAATATACAACCACATAAACATCAGAGTACTATCTCGAACAAAAATGGTGATTAAATATTCCATCGACAGATCACAAATATAAAGAACATGCATATTTTCATACAATAACCATTCAATCAAAAAATAGATACAGTTTGGATGGTGAGTGATTTCAACACTGAACAGTAGTTAGAGGAAACGTCAACTGATGCAAAGGAAATTCACAAAAAAAGAAACGAACAATTTATAACAATAAATAATTCAAAAAAATCAACGAAGTATGACTATCGTCCAAAATGAGCGAACAAAGTCCACAAATTTGTGCACAGAATATTTATGTTGAAGCACGCATACTGCTGATTGTTTGAAACTGCGATTACACGTATATACATAAAATGAGATCATCGACGAATTCAAGATATCCTAGTTTATCTTTCTTAATTCGATTCTACTCACAGTTCGCCTAAATCCTTTTCAGGCACACTAATTTTATGTAAATATCATCATTATGTAGCGTTGATTCTATGGTGAAAACAATTTGAATGATTATATTGAAATATTGCTGATATTATAATTGGAAATTCTGTTAGTAGGAGTGAATTGCAGAGCGTTTGGTGATAACACAGTAAGGGGATGAGGAATGAGAGCTGAGTAAGGCAAAGGATCAAACACAAGTGCATTAGAGGTGCTCCAGAGAAGAGGGTAATTGCAGTTCAACATGCAGGGTGGAGATGAAATTGGATGGTTCAGCATTAGATTGAACATCGCTGGTGGTTGAGAAAATGAACTGAGAGTATCCGATCGAGGGGTGATCGATGTTGTGACGTTATCGTTGAGTTGCGTTGAATCAGAGCATTTGAACTGTTTCGATGGAGCAATATCTAAAATGAACAAAAAAAACTGAACTGAATTTATTACTGAATATCTAAAATTGAACTGTGAAATTTTTATTCGTTTATTTATTTACTGTAATTTGGCAATTTATAGGAAAATATGCTTTGCTCATCCGAAACTCTCGAAAAATACCAGTGATGAGCATTGTTTTTTCAACTGTGATCTGTCGACTTTGTAGCAACGTAACTCTTACAATAGCAAATTCTCAAAGCATCCTTCTACATACTTTCATCAGACGCATTCGACTCCCGTTTCATTGGTGCTGTTGAAGCGATTCGACGCTTATAGCGTTGCCCTTTAGCATATGGATTGAACTGGTTCTTTAACTGAATTATTCTCGCATTTTGATATTGAGTGACCGCAATAAATTCCATCACTTCATCGCTGAAGATAATTTTATCATCTTCACTTGAAGCCGTCCTCACTGAGCCGATATCAACACGACACACAGATAACACGGGTCGGTATTTGCACATTGTTTGCAGATATATCTGCAAAGTATCCAATCCTCTTATGTTACCTTGGGAAAGTCAAATGTCTTAATATATCTAGGAATACGATTAGCAATTTTTTTCTGTCCAAAAGTAACTTCAGAACAAAATGAATTTGTGATGAACACTTCGAACTTTCGCTTTGAAATTCATTTTAGCACTTTTTCATGAAGTGGTCAGCTAAAGCTCCTCTATTTTCTATATTGGATTGTTTATCTGAACTATTGACCATTTTCATTGAGTTTTCACAAGGTGTCTGAAAAATACCAGCTGTTGGGCACATGTAACCAATGAGATTGCGTTGAAAGTTGACGATAGGATGCAGGTAATTGCTGGTTAACTAAATGGTTACCTTTGCTCCTGCCTCGTATTTGCGATCGTTCGTAAGCGACAAATGATCGAAGTAAATCGGTGTCTTAAGCAGATAAGATCCACGGATGAATCCATCATGATGTTGCACCAAACGCGTTTCAGCGCTCTTTTGTTCGTTCAAGCCAACGTGTCCAGCTACAACCCATTTACCGTCCTCAAACTTATACCTGAAAAGATTGGAACTGTGATGCCAGCAACAAATCATAATCATTGCATCTCCATAAAAAATACAAATCTATAAGTAATCATAGATTGAATTGCAATAATCGCTGACTTATAGTTATCCACTCGTACAATTGAAATGGCCAAGCTATAACTTCCCAATGGATCGACACCATTCACCTCAAACGCTACTCTCGGGAAGATTTTTCTGAAAATTCATCAGGTAGCATGCTTGAAAGAGTAGCGAACCGTGATTAAAGACAAAAACAACCACGAAAATCGTCTTCTCAGTAGGCATACCATAGCTAGAAATTGTTTTATTTGAGGTTGAAAAATTTTTCGTTGAAACAACTCTGTATAGGAGCTGCTCAGAATCTTTCTCTCTTTAATCTAGAGATTCAACCGCAATTTGAATAGTTTAATAATTTCTAAAAATTCCTTAATTCTATCAGTGACAGTTATCAAATCATTAATTCCGCAATAATTTATTGAATCTGTGAAATACTGTCGAACCTTCCGTTTCTGATGACAATCATCTCATTCCCATGTTCACAGAACCTGGACCATAGTTCTTTATTCGCAACCTTCACACCTAATTCTGCACAATGCATTCTTCTTGAAAACACTCAAAATATCCTGAAAGCAATTCAAATCGTTGAGAATCATAAGGAAGATATCGCATTTTTCATTATTGTTATGAAAAGCAATAGCAATCTCGGTTCATGAGAACAGTCTAAGCGGTTTGATATAAAAGCGATTCTATCACGGCTCATAATCGCCTCAAAAAGCACCTTAAGAAATGTTCACGTGTAATCAAAATCCGACTTATGACGATGATTAAGAGCAATAGCATAGTCAAACCGACGTCGCATCTCCAGTTGTCATATCTCGACTTACGAATGCATTAATTCAGCATCCAAGACTAGTATGATCGCTCCTTTTAATGAAATCGCCTGTTGCTAAGTATTAATCCAATATTTTTCGCAAGTTTCATAATCCAGGTAATTCCTACTGTCATTGCATAAACTTGTCATATACAGTCACACAATCATCTGTTGCAATGGAATCATTTGGATAGGTCATAAAAGTTTCAAAAAACTAGGAAAATGAGAATCATCTATTGGGGGAAAGTGTGAAAATCTTATTCAGAATCGATAAAGATCAATTTTATAAGAAATCTGAATGCTGTGCTGATCAGTAGTAACAATATAGTGACAAATTTATCTGGTACCATAGTCTGGTGAAGAATAAAGATATGAAGAAATCAATAAAACTTTTGGAATAAACCAAAATGTTGATTGACAAAGCAATTGGGGAAAAAATCTCTATATTATGCTTTTAAAAAATCTTAGATAACTTTATCATCCTTGATAAACTTATCTAATACCTTAACTCGATAGCAATTGGTAGCGTGGAAAAATCAATAGTGTAGTTGGAATCAGTATGACAAACCAATCCAGAATCGCTAAAAAGAAAATGAAGTCGAAAAATTTTTTAGAGTCCTATTATAATATACGATGCTATATTTCATGAACTTGATCCACTGGATTGAATGCTATTGGCAATGATATGATGAATGAAAAAACTTCTGCAAGCATTAGTAATGTGCAAACAAAAGAAGATAGTGTATTACAGTAATGAACAATCAACTCCAAAGAACGCGTTTCAAATATACACATGAAGGATCAACGAACCAACCCACTTCATTGGGTGAATTACTTGAGCGACACTAAATATGTGAAACACCCACCGTGAATAAGTGTTGTGATCATTGGTGAAATGTTTTGAATTCAAAGTCTGAAGGATTATCAAAAAGTTGCAGCGCTGATCATCACCAACCTGATGGTAACAGGTGGTTATTAAGTTAAAGAGCACAAATACCCTTGCTGAGAGGAAGTATTTGGATGGCGTAAATGCCTTGAGGATACCTTCTAAAAACGTTAATCATCAAACCGCTCGTATTTACCTATTGATGTTCAATATCGCGTAATGCATTATCCCCTTAATTGCAACTGTCGTACTCATATTCCAGAACTGTACGACGAAGAACAAGGCAAACTGCAAAAGGCATCATTCAAAACAACCTTAAATCATTCATAGGATGACATTTTTGTCTTATTGACTCCTCACATGCTACTTCAACCAATTTTACTAATTATATTCATGTTAACTGCTGACGGCAATTTTGAAATTACGTTGCAAGTTTACTTTCATTCCTTCGAAGAACATTTTCTTTAAAGAAAATATTCGAAAAACATTTTCTCTCATTAATATTCGCAAAATTTAAATGGATATTCTAAACACTCAATGAAATAATATCAATAGTTGTTAGTAATTTAATAATGATAGTAGTAATGATAATTAATTAACAATAACAAATATAATAAGTCTTTATTGTATAAAACGATGGCGATGAAGCGTGGTTTGGTTGGGGATGATGACCCGTTAGCTGGTATAGGTTTAGATGAGGAGGATCGTTTTGATGATCGCAAGGACTTGTCAACACCAAAGGCTCTTGTTGATGAGATTGCCAAGAACGGTGTTCAGGTTGGTTGTCGTCAAAAACACTTAACAACAACTTATGCCGAGATGAGTGACCATTCCGATTCGTAGAATAGCTATTAACATTCGATCGGTTTTCATTAATGTATCATCAGCGCATCAGAAATAAAAATTTCTTTGTAAAATATTTATAACTCAGTGACATAGAACGGATGGGAATGGTTACTCTCAACTCGTATTCTAAGCACTTCTCCGGAACCTTCAAACTGGAGCACTTAATATCCAGACAGCCGCTCTCCATAAGGGCCCGATCAAGTTATTTTAATATAATGATTACACTTGTAAATTGATTACAATATATTAAGTGCTAAAATTGTTGGTTGTTATTTAAAGGAAAACGGTTCATGATGTTGTGTATCAATTTTTTAAAGGCGACTAATTGGTGCCCGCTCACTGAGAAACTTATTGTGCAGACGAAAGACGAATTAACAGTTTTCTGGGTGAGATACTCGGGACCCTGTAGGGCCTCACCTTCGAGTTGAGGCATATAAGAGCTGATTTACAAAAGCCATTTGAATTTTTTGCTGAGGGTGCACTTAATAGTGACGATATTTGTCTTCTCGTTCATTCATTGATAGTAGCCACATTCCTTATCCTTTAACCGAACATCATATCATCACTGTTTCCTCGTCTGTGAATAAAAAAGTACCCACAGTTATGAATTTTTTCATTTCACAAATAATGACCATTTATTTTGGTAGGTGATCAATAATTGGCATAACGAAATACTGAAAGAACCGCCAAAGTTCGATGCATTTCTCGAGGAAGGGAACACATTAAAGAATCGTTTTCCGAACGTTATTCTTTACGATAAAACAAGGGTGAAGTTGAAGGGAAAATCTGGACAGGATTATTATCATGCGTCTTATGTGGACTCTTATGAGAAAGCACGTCGGTATTTTAGCATTCCTTTAATTCAGATCACAATTACAATTCAACGCATCATAATTAAATAAACAGATTTGTTTAAAGATACTGATTTTTTTGAGGGGAACATTCTTCTCCTGTTGACACTCACTGTTAGCAACCGTTATGAAAGTAATATCAAGTTAGAGTTGCATTTTGAAACATCACCACTAGACATCCTGTGCATGTTTCATCTCCAAATGAATAAAATCCTGTGGATATCACCACTCAGGAAGTACTAATGAAATATTTGGAAGCCAATAAAAAGCACCAGTTACAAGTCTTAATGTTCAATGTTGAGAAGCATCAAGAGCAGATACTTAATCCAATTGTCTCATTACTGAGTTGCTTCGATTCATAAGTCAAACTGTTTTCTTTTTAGGTGACTACATCTTGGCTCAAGCACCATTCGATAGCACCACAGAATTCGACTTCTGGAGACTTGTCTATCAAGTACGACCTCGATTAATAGTCTTGTTAACAGCCATTGAAGATAAAGATGGAACGGCTATCATTAGAAAATTCTTTCCAGCCCAAAAACAGCAAAGGGACTTTGGAGATGCCAAACCAATCAGTGTGCAGTGCGTTCGGGTCGACCAGGTCAGTTTTAACACGAGTGACCAGCCTAGATGTCACCTTAATGAGCAGTTGTCAACTTAATGCCGAATAGCAAGGTCCGCAATTGGAGTTGAAGTCCTGGAGACGTTAATTACAAGATTAAGTGAGATACATGAAGTGTATCAGACTAATCCATCTAGCAGCTTTACGCTTTAACGAAGTTTGAATGACTGGCTCCATTTTGAGACTGATAAACCAATTGCATATGCAAATTTGTGGATAGCTAAAAATGAGTCATCAAAGTGTCTGTTGAACGTTGGTCTAAAGTTTAGCAAAAAATTCATTGCTGTCATCGACTGTTATTTGATGAGTGGATCAGTTGAATGAGTATAATCAATACGTTTTATCATCAATCGTTGGTTTCTACAGGACAAGGATACCGATACTTGCGATATCCGTTTAATTGGTCCGGGCCAACGATCCAATACAGCTTTAAAAATACCGTTGATACACTATAAAAAATGGGTTGATGACAACAACATACCTGATAACCTACTTGAATTCCGCGCTCTCGTAAATTTTTAGCTTTTTATAATCGTTCTCCTTATCTCTTCAGCATTACTATGTAATGGTGATAACCGACCAAATTTCGGTCGGAATTCCGAGATTCGGATTCTAATTAAAGAATTTTGAAGTTCGGTCAGAATATCGAATTTCCGAATGTTGAAAAGTTAATTCGGTTGGATTTCGACCAAACTGAAATTTCGTTTGAATGCCATCACTATTACTAAGTCAGCTTTTCATTGCACAATTCCATTGTAAACTGATCTATCTCTTGATGAATAAGCACTGTTTTTAAATGAAGCATCTGAATGGAATGTTGAGCGTATGTAAAGTGAAGAAAGGATAGCAAATGAACGTTCGAATTGATTTGATTATGCGTGCGATGAAAGTAAATTGAACGAATTCTTGGCACGATCATTATCGAAATAAAATGATAATAACTGAAATTTGAAAATATTCTATTGAACGGAACAATTTGCTGAATGATGCATTTCTTTATCTGATTGGTTATTAATGAAAAGGTGAAAATAGCAAATGCGAAATCGAAAAAGAATGGTCGGACTGGACCAATGATAATCGTATGTCCGAGTGGTGTTCATCGTTGCGGTACGTTCGCGGTACTAGATATTGTCCTCGATAGGCTCAGCACCGAGAAGAAGGTATTTTCTCACTTTTATGAATTTGATGTGAATGCTTGTTTCAAAGCAATTTTTTTTACTTAGACAACAATTATTATTTTTCAGGTTGGTCTGCTTGAAACGACAAATATCGTACGAAATCAACGCTACGGATGTATGACGTATTTTTCGCATTACAATCACATTGCTGATCTGATTGTACGACAAGCCGTCTCATCGGGCATTGCGAATGTTGACTGCATTGGTAATAAAGCATAACGAATGTGAATGTATAGTCTGTCAAACTTCATCCTTCTCTTTCGCAAGTATTTTGCATGTTTACTGTGATGCTCTTTCAAGATGAATATTCATTTGATATATTCGTGCATCTGGGATAAATCATACGGTCATTATGTTTTGGCATTTGTTGCATTATTACACACGAATAAATAGTGGATGTGCAGTTGACTGTTGATGAACTTGATCGATTTGAAAAATTCATTTGTGCACTCAACAGACAGTCATAAAGATCCCAGTCAGAATCTTAAGTACATTTTTCAATTGGAAATTCAAAAATGAATATGGCGATGAAAAATCGCGATTGGAATGTGATAAAGAAGATATCAATGATGAATGACTCACCAAATTTATATCGTCAACAATCTTTGAGCTCTTTGAGGGCGTGTTGGACGAGAGGTGTGGAAATTCCGCTCTCATTTTAGTCTAACTCACAATTGGATGGCTGAGTGATGCTCAACCAGCCTCTTCTAAACCTAAACGAAAGAGTATGCCCAAGTCTTAGCCCGATTTGACAGGAGAACGCTAGACTTAGTCAATTGAGGGGTGACTTTTATTCGAGTCAGTTTTGCTTATCCTCATCTTGATAGTGAACTCTAGATTAAAGATGAACCTAAGCCTAACTTCAGCGGGTAAGGTTTTAGTCTTATCAGCCTCCGGGTGAAGCCTCCAGGTTTTGACTCATAACCACTATTCACGTGAGCCATTTGTCTGCACTTTTTTCCACACAGCGAGTGGTCGCGTGATGATATTTTTTGCCTCGCCCATGGCTCTTCGATCAGTTATATACCGTACATTCGGTCAATGGTAACGCTGCACTTACGTGTGTTTTCTCACTCGTAGAAGACCGAACACATTTTTTTTCTTAAATGCAGCCTAGTTAGATTGCAACTAATTCATAATGGGCTGTAGACATTTAAAAGTTTTCCCGTTTTGGCCTAAGCGAGGAACAAATTCAGAATACGCAACAACACTATGTGAATAAATGATAAATGTATGGCATGCAGTCCTCTCACATTGTTGCTTACTTTGGCATTGTATAGCAAATGCAACTCAGCAAAACATCTACTGCACAGAACGTAGGATGTAATTAGCTGTAATCAATGCAACCAAAAAATATCCGTGTAATAGTGTCGATTTACGATGAACGCTAAATGCGTGATGGAAAAACCTGTGAAATAAATATCTGTGCCTCAGGCCAAGTTGTGTGCAAGGCCAACTCAGCGCTCTTTTCGAAGTTTAGAAATGCCAACGCATGTCATGGCATTGCCACTTCAACGAATTTGTAAATACCTTATAACAGAAACTGGAATTGGCGTTTTTTTCAAGCTGATTGCATACTGAAATCACTTGTTCGATTATTTCAATCTTTTCGACCCTGTCAGAAACAGATGTTGCACTGAAACTACCAGTGACTAATGGTAATTTCAATCTTTATGAAATGATCATTTTTAGGAGCCTATTCGCTATTTTCGTCTGCTATGAGAAACAGCTGTTTTACGAATTGTAGATATTTGTTAAATCAACTATAGGTGTGGGGCCCGTGTAGGTTGGGATGTTCGAAGCATTGATTTCCCATCTGTCATTGATACGCGATAAGCTTTGGATCCTTGGTCTGTAAGTTTTTTGTTTCACACGCGGCTCTTCGATTAGTTTTACGCCATACATTCGACCAATGATAAACGATGCCCTTCCGTGCATTTTCGCACTGGTCGCATTTTTTTTCTAAAATGTAGCCTAGTTAAATTGCAACTAATTCATAATGAGTTGTGGACATTTAAAACTTTCATGCTTCCAGACCAAGCGAGGAACAAAATCAGAATATGCAACAACACTTCCATTGCGAAAAGTATTAGCGTTATTGTGATTCTGAAACCATTGCTGGTTCGCTTGATAGAGGTAGAAGTCGTTTTCGAATGAACAGTTTTAAATAACCATAAGTGCAGTACGCAAACGCAGAGATATTTTATGTAAGACAAAACAGGCAGTAAAACAAGCTCATCAACTCAGATGCCAGAGCTTACCGTGTGCCGAAGGCTGCTGAACTAGCTCTAAACACCTCCATAGTTGACAATGATGATCCACTCGCGAACGCAACTACTTATCAGTAAAGTTGCTGCTAAGTTTTTGATTCAATTGTTTTTATTTTTTATTTTTTGATTCTTTGGTTGCATTGGTCTTCAACCCTTCTGGGCACTTCCCAATGAGAACTGAACATTCAAACAAATGTTAGAGGACCCTCTGATCCCACTTCCCAAGTGACCACCTAATTGCATTGTTTCAATCAATGTTTCAATACTCTGTGGGTGTTTTTTCTTCAATGTTAAAACTAATTAGTGTGATGAATGAAGACGAAAATGATGCTCATTTACAAGTACTGCATTATGCTTCACGTCCAACGAAGCGCATATTCAATCATGTCAGAATATAACCAGTTTAAATGCTTGTAAAAGGCATGTCCCTCATCAATACAGCAGAATCGACTTTATGTGTGCTGTAACGCATCACCCCAAATTACGATGATTGTTGTTGAAAGGCGTGCATGAAAAGCTAGTCTTATTCTGTTTTTATATTTCATGTTCAAGTTTTGTTCCTTTCGCCACTCTTCATGTACGCAGTTCCTTGTATACCACACTTCATTTATTTCTTTTTGCACGTTTTCAATTACATTTAATTTGTTGAACCTTCCATATTCTTATTCTCTTTTCGTTTCTGTGGCTTTTCCGTCTACTTTTACTGTAATTTTTTATTTTCATTGACCAAACCTTCACCTTTCACTCTTTCAAAGCACTAAATTTTATGTGATTTTCAAGTTTTCATATATTAGTTTTTAACCGTATAATTAAATGATATGACAGAGTGTGGGATACAATATGTGTTCCATATTTATACTATAATTTGGCAGGATCAGAAATACTTCAATCTGCCCAATATAATCTCTAATATTTCGTTAGTTTTTTGCTTTTTTTTTCGCTTTTCGATTTGGAGTCTAGAAGTTCTTGAAACACACCTCTGAGAGAAATTTAATTTTCGTTATTATTATTATTATTATTATTATTATTATTATTATTATCGTTATCAGTCACGTGATACATAAATGAGAATAAATACTTTCATGGGTATGAAAACAGTTTCGCCATCTGCAGTATCGCAGATACATTTGACTTCGCACTGCCAATCATGGACAATTTGGTTTCTATAGACGTTGTGAAAGATTTCATTTTGATGGCAGTCGCAAACCTGGTCCGGGAGTGGGCTGATAGTGTGAGGAGAAATTACCAGAGGTTATGCAACGAATGGGAACCAGACGCATGCATTTCCAAAAACTTGCATCTTTAATTGGGATTTTGTGCTCTTTACATATTCTTAATACATACATGTTTGCTTGTAAACGACTAGTAATGAAGATGATTCAAAATGTTAGAACAAGAACTGAAGAATGTTATAAACTATTTGTTATCTCATTTAATTTCCTGCTCAAGCAAACATGTAAACCATACAAAAATAGCAACCAGCCGGATGCGCGTAAACATTTGCTACCGATGGAATGCACATAAAAGAGCTTGTATTGACTGATAAGATGACTGCTGTCAATTCCACCCTTGTCCTCTGACTCTCTAAAGCTTTTTTTGCAACCTGCGCTAATCTATAACAAATCGCCAAAATCCAATAAGTGTTGAGTGTCGCTGATCTGATGTTGACAGTTTGGCATGGGTGGATGCCGTGTCAAACAAAAACTGGAAGCATTGTTATTATTCGAGTAATCGATAAGTGAAGCAAGATTGGGTGGTGAAGGCGGGTGTGCTGCATCGTTAATATTAATGAGCTGGCTCACTTTTCGGCAGATGTTCTTGATTTGAATCATCAACAATTAGTCGTATTACTTTCGATTCGCTCAGGAAAGTGTTCACCGCATGAACGAAGTAGCGTGCTCACCGTTCACTTCAGTCCCGCTAATTGCTGTCTGATAAACAATACGGGAGAATTTCCAGTTGATTGAAGCAAGTTTTTTATTTTTAAATTGGGAAATTGTTTTTCATGATTCAGCCACAACTTTTTGTTTGCGAAAAAAATCGTTTAATATTATGGAGCGAGCAAAAAATTTGTTCAACTTGTTCACTTCTAACGTTTGGTACATGCCAGAATAAGGAGAACGGAGAGGTGCACGTAGGTGAATACAGTGGCAGCAATGGCCCGAAGCCTCATGAGAATTTTAATGCTAACAGTCGAACTCTTCTTGAGTGCACTTGTGAATTCAAACGAACCTCATCGTCCAGTCTTACCTCACTCTGATTACCCATCAGTCATGTTCTTCTACACAAAACCATAATAGTATGGAATATTCCTTCATCTGTTCATTCTACGTAATCCTAAATTGAAATAACATATGCGCATCATCTGTCTCGTCAGTACCATTGAATGTCTCTGTTGTTCTTTTTCTTTTCGTTTCTCAAATTCTCCTTTCTCTCAACACCTCTTTCCTTATCTTTATTAGCATCTACGATTATATATCAATCTCAATCCACAAACACCCCACTCAGCAGTAACTGACCAAAGTTGGTTTATGCATTTAACGCAGTTTTCGTGACAAATCAACATGATGTCTCTTTCTGGTTGTTTGTTATTCAATAATCAATATACGTCTGATATATCCACGTTATTTTCCTGAACGTATTCCTTGTGCTGAATTCCGTTCATGATGTTTTCGTGATAATTTACTTGCTTCATCAATCATTTCGTCAATCGATTTTGTCTAATTGTTATAGATAAGTTTTATTTTAAGTGTCGTCAGTCATACTTAATGCTCATTATGGGTTACACACGTTCACGTCAAACAATGATTATGAAGTGACGGAAATATGTAAAGTGCTGAGATGCTAATCAAAGAATATCGTATTCTACTACCTCTTTCAGTTGAGGAGTATCGTATAGCACAGCTGTATATGATACAGGTTTGTAGTCATCTGATTATTTCTGCGTATCGCTTTCTGTTATGTTTTATGAAATGTTAATAATATTTCGTTGTTTAAAGATTCATTCATAAGCATTCGCGATAAATTCGGTATTCGGTTCTGTAGAAATAATTTCTGAGATTTTATTGTTTGTTGTTTCATTTCAATGACTGTTCGTGTATCTTTTATAGCAATCCAACACGTCAGAAGGTTTCCGTGAAGATCGATTAATGAAATGTTACTGAATTTGATGAGACATCAATCAGTTTTTAGTAACAAATCATTACATATCAACACACTAAGTGTTACTTTTCCATGTTGAATTCGAAGTCAGAATGTAACTGCCAGACTTTTCACAAAAAACAGTCAGTCATAACGGCGAGTTGCTGAATCATTTTTTGCATAAGACTTAAAAGATAAATTCCCACAATAGTAACAAGTTTTGCCATCTTCAGTCTGTCGCAGTTCTCCCATATCTTTTCAACTACGATGGAGTATAGTTGTTTTCTTCCCTTGGCGAATATAATTCATCTTCTTATATTCTATCCGTTGTGTTAATTTTTATTTTGCTCGTCGATCTGTCTGTGCATGATTATTTGTTGATAAATTAGTAATTGTGAACTGCTTATTCCTGCGATATTGAAAAGAAATTGACGTTAGTATACTGCAGTCATGAACTGAAGTATTTTTCGCTTCTGAATCACAAACGGAAACAACTAAAGTTTCANAGTCAGATATGTGAAACGGTTATATTTGATGTAATCTTTTGTTTCGCATTCGAGTCTCTTACTCATTACAACATTGTTGCTTTTTTGGATTGAACGAAAAGCTGTTATACACACTGAGCCTGTGAAGAATAGCTGACAGTAATGAATGTGAAATAAACGTAATTCAAAACCGGCTTAATTCCTTGAGTTGTGTTCAGAAGAAAAGTCGTTTGGATAGTTCGGGTGAAGGAAGTGGTGTGGAAATTATCACAAATAACCCTTATACCGAAGGTCCTGGTGGCTCTGGGCAGTATACCTTCAAAATATATCATATTGGAAGTAAAATACCGAGTAAGATTTGTTTTTTATGTTCACTTTTTTGACGTTTCGACAGTCAAGTGATATGAAAATTTGCACTTAGTTTCGCTTAATTCTTCATCCTCTTCGCATATTCCTTTTGATGTTGATCACTAATTATCGTTCTCATCGTTAATATCGCAATCAAGTTGGGAATTTGAAGAGATCATGCTGGGAAAAACTAGGTGGCTTTTTGATCAGGAATCTTGGGAATCTTTAAAGGTCATCGATGGCCTATAGATGCCGTCATGTGGGTGTAAGGTTTTGAAGTAGATTTCCAGCAATATCTTTTGTTATTGTAAATTATTATAAATGGATAAATCGGTGCAATTCTTAACGAATTTCTTTGACATAAATTTGTGAATTTGCTTTTTGGAGAAATTTCAGAATAGTGTTCAGTTTTGAAAGTTGTTCTGTTTATAGCCAAAATTTTCATTTTAATAGGATAGATGTTGTTGCAGTTTAATATGATGTGCGGGTTTATTTTTAGTACTACAATGAATTTTAAGTCATTAATTTTATAATGGTCTTTTTTTCCTTGAAATTAAGTTACTTTTCATGTTTTTCGTTTTCGATTTTATATGCATATTTTCTGATGAACAACTCAAAAGTGTAGAACTACGCAGACAAATAATATGATCAAATGTAGCATGATGGGAATTTTTTGTCGTTAATTGGGTTGTTTGCATGCACCATCGGTTTGTCTATGAATTTTTAATAGAAGTGGAGAACGAAAGGAGAAAATGAAATGTTGAGTGGCATTTGTTGGTTGATTAAGAATGATTGAAATTGTTCGGTTGTGTTATTTCAATTGTAACTTTTAATGATTAAAGTTGACATCACAAATCCACTTTAATAAACATTACATTCAAATCATTTCGCTGAAAGTTGTGTTCGGTTCGTTTAAAACTCGTTCGGTTGATTTGCGTCGAATACAAATTGAGTGTCGTTTTTACGAAGACATTTGAAAAGATGCTAATGGCCGTTATGTCGTGCTTCACTCAGCTTCACTCAACAAAACAAACATATGTCCGTTTGCACGCACATGTTTATAGATACATAGCCTGTTAGCCTAGCTGGGCTCGCTATTGGAGTGAATGAAAGAATGGAGGGATAAAGGGATAACTGAATATTTGTATGGACCGTAGGCAAGTAATGGTGAGATTAACGGACATTATAAATTATGATGCGATTTCAATTCGTGATGAAATAATTGAAATTGAAGCATGGATACGAAGTGTGCTTCCGAGTACCGCTCTACAAGCTCACGAAGAGGCTTGGAACGCATATCCGTACACAAAAACACGCTATTCGTGTCCGATTATGGATCGATTCAGCGTGGAAGTCGAAACGAAGTACTTCAATGATGCCGGACAACAGGAAAATGTTTTTGGCCTGGAAGGGGACGAACTCAAAGAAAGAATCGTTGGTGGGTTCTTCTTTCAAAATATACATAAAATTCGCATGTGGATTTTACAGTTCTCCAGAGAATATTATTGGGAAAGTACAGTTTGTAAGCAAACCGGGTCCATAACTGACCATGAATTTGATTTGCCACATTCGTTCGGTGGAAGATTCAGTTGCTCCCTCAATTCACTTTTCACTGTTCCACAACCAAAGTTAACCTCTCGACAGAACAATCGTATGTTATTCCATCTCATGTTTTCATATTATTCCATCTCACCAAACTCAAACGATTTGCTGAAATAGCAATGAGAAAAATTTCCAACGACGTATCAATTACCTGGGTTACCTGGACTGGCCAGGTTGTCAAACGTTCATAACGTTGCTGGCCACAATGCTCGCGTTTCCGTGCGCATTGTTTTAGTCTCAATTCACGCCACCCCGCTGGCTAGGCGAGCAGGCCAACCGAACACAACCGAGTAAATAATTAGTCGTCATGAATACTTTGCATAATTAAACGCAGTCAAATACCAATCCAATAAATAATCATTGCTCCAATAAAATAAATATTCCGCCGATCGCTCACTGCGATTGACGAAACAACTACTCGATGTCCAAGTAAAAATTAGTCACGACGTATCAAAATAATGAAAAAGCAATTCTCGTCGAATCCATCGATGAGTTGATCATAGGATTCCTTCTTACATCCGCCTTATAGGTACATATCTAATTTGTGAGCTCTCCCAATGTTCTGAGTGAAATTTTGAGTTTTGATGAGAATTTGTTCGGATGTTCGAGAATGAAAATGTCCTTCTGATGAATTCGATCTTCTTCTGATTCTCATTCTGGAAAGAAACTTATTCAGTCCGTGAATACATCTCTGGCTATTTGTGTTTCGTTGATGCGCTTATTTTCATTTGCAATGAATTTCGTTAGCTCATCGGAAGTGTAACGCTAAATGGTAAATGATGAGAAGTAACAAAGGAGGGATGAATGTGGTTAATGCGGCTCGTTGTCGTCTCTGTTTCTTGTTGCACATTTTTATTCGTTTTTGCTTCTTTCCACCTCAATGAATTTTTTTTTTCGTTTTGGTTCACCGCAAAATTTGAATCAATTTTTTCTTTTGAAACAAATTTTAATGCGACTCCAAAGAAGACATTGAAGGAATCAAATCATTTGGTTCGATTAGCAACGTTGGAAATTCGGGCAATTATAACCACATAAAGTGCATTGAAACGCTACAGAACTCACTTGAATGCTGTTTATTTAGCTTCGTCTTTCTTTTTGACTCAGGCAGAAAGTTTCGCTTAGTTCGAGATTGAAAGTGGGCTACACTGATTCTCGTTTTTCATGGATCTGATTGTTAGATATTATCTGATTAGATATTATCTATCGGTTCGCTGAAAATGGAGATTGTTTGCCTTTTCAAAAAAATGATAAGGAACTGAAATATAAGACAGCGAGAAGAGGATGTATTAACCGCTTTGAATGTTATGTTACGCTATGGATATGTTGTTTGAATTTTTGTGTGTTACTTGTTTTAACCAGTTTTAATTATTATAAAAAAGTTTCTCGAAATTTGATGTTTTTATGGTTTTTTACTGTGTTTCCAAATGGAAACGATGAACGGGTGGGATGGGGAAGGGGAAAGGCTTGATTATTGCAAGTAAACAATAAACGAATGCATGCTCAGATGTGATGGATTTTGTGAAAGACGCAGTACCATCGTACGATTATCTGGTTGAAGAGGACCCCAGATTGTATAAAAGTGCCAAAACAGGTCGTGGCCCATTATCGGATGAGTGGGTGAATGATTGCATTCAAAACAGTAAACCGATTATGTGCGCTTATAAACTGTGTAAAGTTGGTTTTTTCAGCAAATGCATCTATCACTTCATTTTTGCAGCATAATTTGATATCGATTCAAATGTTGCATCTGCTAGTGGAGATTCGATTACAGAAATTCATTTTAGTAATAAATCACACGGCAGAAAGATTTACTGTGATTATTTTCTTCACAGTTCTATTCTCAATTATAATGTAGCCATTTTGGGCTTTTTTTGCTTTTTTCTTCGGATGATGATTAGGCGTGGTGATGATTGTTTAGGTGGAATTTCGTTACTGGGGTTTACAAAGTAGAGCCGAAAGATGGATTCATGGGTTTGCACTCCGAAATACAATGCTTCGAGCACATCGACAAGCATGGGCATGGCAGGATGAATGGGTTGGATTGTCAATCGAGGAGATTCGTCGTCTCGAAAAAGAAGTAATTTTTGTTCATTTGTCTGTCTTCTTATTTACCATCTGTTCACTGTCACAAATTCTATTTGAACGTCTGCAGAAGTTAACAATTGGATTCTTGTTTACATTATCCATTAGGTACGATTGTTCCGTGAATTGTGCTTCTTTGTGAGCATTGAAGCTTGCTTGTTCAAAAGATGAAAGTAAATTATTGATAGAAATTGTGCACATCATTATCTGTTTTCGTATTACATCAAATAGTATCTCTCACAAGTGAATTATTTGTTATTGAGTGTAGAATTTAAATAATTTGCGAAATTGATTATTTTATTTACATTTCGTTACGTACGTTCGTAGTGCCGAAAAACAATAGAAACAATCTAATGCCTTTATGTTGCTGCGTAATACGTATGAAAATACCGTAATCTTCAAATTGAATGATCGAATCAAATCTCAAAAGAAATGATTATTATATATACATATATTATTCTCAGGAAAATTATTTTAGGTTGCTGAACATCTGTCGCGGGTGATGGCTCATTCAGAAAACGCAGATTCGGTGTCAGAAGCGTCATCAGATGTTTACTTTGATTGCATCGACCAAGCACCACTGAATAGCAGCAATAAACCGGCGATGATAAAATGGAGTTCTGAATTGCTGCTCAACGATTCCGAATCTCCTCCGCTGACGCCTCGTTCCGATTCGAATACTTCTCTACTCGTCATTGTTTTTCATGGCGATGTTTCACCTGAGGTTATTCCTTCAATCATTTACTATTCACTTATATTTTATTTCATCCCTTTGAACATACTCATCCACTAAGAATTTGTTGTAGGTATTGAATGGGTACATTTATCAATTTATTCTTTTTTAAAGCGAGTTTATGTAGTTTTTTGTTCTTTAACATCATTGGTTAATCTAACAATAAATAGTTTGCTTTTTGTTATTTTCTAAAATTCCTAGTGAATATCTCATGATGCGAAGATATTCAGCCGGGAATTTTAATAGCAGTATTGTAGAGAAGTTGAAAAATGTTTCGTAAGAAAGTTTCTTTGATGAGTTGATGTGGATTTGGAGTAGGAGATGTGCGGTGGTGAATTGCAGTCATAATTAGATTGGCATTCATTTTTAATTTCCTCATCAGTGTCATCTCATTTTGATTGAATTGGGAGTCATCAATTTCAGTTTCAGATACCAGCCGAGCACAAAATGACCGATGTGTATTCGTTGAAAAGTACAGTAGAGTCGTTGATATCATGTCATTATCCACAACTGAAGTCACGAGTGAATTTCATCTTTGTTTCTTGCGGAAACGAGTTGAATGCGATCGTCTCTCAACTCGTATCAGTATGTCCTTCATTTGGTGTCTTCCATCCATCACTTGCACTTCTGCTGTCTTCGTCACAGGTTTTCCAGGAGGTTCGTTTCGTTATGCTTTCATTTTGCTGTTTTGTTTTTTTTTATGATTTGCTTTCATTTCTGTCGCGTTATTCAATCGCTTTATTTATGATGCAGTTTTATTTTTAATTTAACGTGTAAGTTCGTTAGGTGTTTTTGAGTGTACATACAGCCATTGTTCTACTCAAATGTTGATTGCGAGGTTGATTATGTGAAACATTATGTTTGCTTCGTTTTAAATTCAAATGGAATGTTCTATGTTAGAACATTGCGTTCTTCAATGTTGAGTTGATATTCATGAGATATGTTGAAATGAGTACATTGATTCAAGGCAGTACAAACTACAATCGCGAAAGCTAACCAAAGCTATACACAGTTCATACAATCATCTGAAGCGGGCCACGGTTTTAACGGTGAAATATTCGTGGTTGGTGATCATCTCGGTGGCCTCTTCATTTATGAAATACTCAGAAAACAAAATCTTCATAACCCGGTCTCGCGTCATTCCAGTTCAATTTCCGCTAATTCACGTGCCATACCCGAGGGTTGTGAACAAGAAGTTTGTTTCATTTTTGGAATTTAACGATCAATAGCTTGTGTGTTCCATCTTCTTCTATTTTAATACCTAATACTGCGCTTTTCGTCTCTGGTATGCAAATATCAGTCATCGTTCGTTATTGCTTCGGTTTAGTGTTTGTTTTTTACTGCTTTTACGCTTTGTTCATTTTTTCATTTCAAATGATTCGGCAGCTTACAAATGAGCAAAACCGAACCAACGCTCTTATTTCTATGAAAAGCTGTTCCTTCTAGCAACACTTTGAGCCATTCTTATCACATATCTTTTGGAGCTTAATTTTGATTTGAAAATTGTTACAGGTTGAATTTTCCCAATATTTGGTGACTTTTAAATGCGATTTTATGATAGAAATGGGTAGTAATACGTAAATGGTGAATACAATTTCAGTTGTTTTCAATGTGAGGGATTGTTAATGTCATATGTCCATTCAGGCGTCATGGTCTCTAACTGAATTTCCATTAGTTGAATCGACAGCAGTTGATCGAGAACGAGGTCATGCTCATCAGCGTAACTTCTCTGCACCTCCATCATCCTCACGAAAAATATCGCATCATCATCATCGACCATCCACCAGTTCTGAGAGTGATTTCACCTCTAATTTGAATTTTCGAACGAACGCGGCATTCCTTCTCGGTTGTCCTCTCGCACTTGTGCTAACACAGCGAAAAATGTTCGGCATTGGTGAGTGCTTTGTAATTGAATGTAAGCAGAGCTGATAGAAGTTCAATCGTGTTTATCCTCTTTTTGAGCACCAGGAGACCTATTCTTTTTTTATCTACCTACACTAATGACGACATATCCTTGAAACTGCGAAATTGGATATCTTCATCTGAATTTTGATGCTTCACTGAATATAATCCTTTGCATGGTCTCCACTCCAAACAAAACTCCTCAATATTCAGCTGATACCATCACCATATCGAGCATCATCAGCACCTGCGACATGAAGTTGAGCGGTGTAAAAGGATGAATGAATTAATTATAGGTGTTGAACCGTTGGATTGTGGTCAGTTATTTAATCTCTATTATGCACTTGATCCGTGCGGTGCTCGATTGGAACCAGTTCTGAATTCGCATCTGGCTATATTACCTCCGATGAACGTTCCTCAGTATCAGCGTTATCCACTTGGCGACGGTCATCACATCCATTTTGATAGGTGATTGTATTCAATACGCCTATCATTCATCCATCGTCTTTATCCACTCATTTGCATGAATCGTTCATCAAAATTTTTCATTGTTGGCTTCATAGGACCTTGATTTTTTTAGAGGGAAAAGATTTGATCTGTGGTAAAGTTGTATTAAGGAGTGTGTGGGATTATTTCGCTTATCTCGCAGTATGAATGAGTTCATATCTGTTTGCAAATTTCAGTGCTCTTGATGCATCGCTGTTATGGGGTACAAGACGAATTGATCACACACTGCATTGTCCACATGCAATGGTTGCTTTACCGTCTTCTGCTTTACCTAACATTTTGCATGCATCTTATTGGGAAAGTTCAGATGTTGCTGCTTTCATTCTCAGGTTTTTGCTTCATTCTATTTCATTAATTCTAAGTTCTTTTTTTCATTTGATGTAATTTTATAAATTTCAATCATTCAGACTATTCCATCACCATGCATTCAGGTATAGTTCATTAAATTCAGTTAGTATGATAACCATCAGAATATGTTGCTTCATTGATGCAGTAGGGTGATTGACAATCTTATGTTGTATGAACGTATTTTAAAGACAATTTATGCGATCGGAAGAACCGCCTGTACTAGCTGCGTTAACGAACATGTCAACGATACCGTCACAAATTCAAATGGAACCACCATTGTGGAATAGAAGAAGAACTAAATTCAAGGTTCGATTAGTTCGATTGATTCGATTTCGGTGGTTTGCAGATATACACAAATGATCGTTTGTTTTTATTTAAACTCAGTCGGATGCTTGGTCCCACATCTGAGATGAATTATCTTTTTCAATAGTTCATGAATTGTTACAGAGCACTTTATTGAGTGAAATGAGCAGGCATGATTTTCGGTTCTGTCACCGAGAACTGAAGTATATTCGTGCACTGTGAGCAAGTTCCATTGAATGAGTTGAACTTGTGATATATGTTTATTCATTGAATCAGTTTATTGTTAAAACTTTGTCAGGTGACAAATTTGGCTCCGAATCATCGAGGTAACGATGTAATCGTAGTGGAAGGTGCAGAGCAACAAATTCAAGCACGGTTTTGCTATGGACCTGTTGATCTGGTAGCTCTGTCTCGTGAAAAGATATCCGCTTACGTTTATCCGGTTGGTGCGGACTGGGAGTTGATCGCTACCGATACCACTGATGCACATGGACGAATTTCATTTTCGGTAATTTTATGAAGCTCTCGTTCCCAGAAAATGGTCCAGCGTCTAGTGAACTGACTTAAGAACAATGGAATTCTGTTCAGTTTCAGAAATTTAAACATACAAAAAACTGAATTATTTATCAGTTTTTGAGAATTATCAAATCGCATTCCGATGTTTTCACCAGTTTCAGATGGGTAATCGTCTACCGGTTGGTATTCATTGCGTTAAAATGATCGTTCATGGTGACCGATCGTATTTGGACTTATTTGTTGCAGTGGTACCAAAAGGAACAAAATTCGTTGTATTCAGTGTTGACGGCTCATTGACCGCTTCTGTTTCGGTTACTGGTCGTGACCCTCGAGTAAGACCTGGTGCTGTTGATGTTGTTCGATTCTGGCATGATTTGGTCTGTTTTGTTTTACACTGTTTGGTTTAGTTTATTCGTTATTATTCACATATCTTTCAAATATTTTTCAATTATCCTCACATCATCTTTTCGAACGGTGATACTACTAGACATGTTGATATGTTTAAAGTTTGCACGTTACTGGTTTATTTACTTGTAAATGTCATTTCAGGGCTATTTGATAATCTATTTAACAGCAAGGCCAGACATGCAACAACGAGTTGTTGGCGCATGGCTAGCATTGCACAATTTTCCTCATGCACTTCTGTTCTTCACTCCTTCATTCTCAACTGATCCACTGAGGTGAATTCAAATTATCTTCTGAACTTCAATCAAATTTCTTACTGACGCACTTCAATAATTCAGTTTCCATGCATTGTATTTAGTGGCGAATTCACAATTCAATGCATTTTGATTTTAGTACAAATTATGTTCGGTTTTCTGTTCACATTTATTCCCATGAAATTTGACAAGTTTTTTTTAAAAAAAAGTTTCTTAACAAACTGAAATTTTGGCTTGTTAATGTCTAGTGTTCTCCACTAAATTTGTGTTATTACCGGTAAAATATTGAATTAAATTCTTTTTTTTAAGGCAGAAAACGTTACATCTGAAATCGCTGCTCGATATGGGAATTTGCATTCATGCAGCGTACGGCAGCAGTAAGGATATCGCAGTATATGCGGGTGCTGGGATAGATGCTGAACGAATATTCTCGGTATCGGGAAGTAAACGGAAAGGATGCACACAAATAGATTGCTATTCGGCGCATTTGAGTCAACTCGATAACGGCGTTATCCCATTCGCAAAACCCGTTGATTCGTCATTAATTTATCATCACAATACTTCATTCACTTTCAATAACCAACGGTAATTGTCATTTTTTAATTCATCGATTTTATCCACTTGCATAGCTTCGTCCAAAAGTAATGCGTTTGTCTGTTATTTCTCTCTAATCTTTTTTTAAGTTCTTGGAAATTTTCGATGAAAGAACATTTGCCCTGCAGTATTTTCGAGGAATAATCTCTATTGTTGAGGGATAAAGTGGAAGAATGGAACTGAGTGAAGATTTGTAATATTGCAGAAGTTTGGTTCAACGAACACATTCGTTCACTCCACGCAGTGGTCCATACAGTCAAAAGCATAAAGAGAAACGGTAGCGTTTACAGTAATATATATGTATATATGAATATCCGATTGAACAAGCCATGTAAACGTTATGATATAACATCATCCAAGCAAATGGAATTTGTGCAGTTGCCGAATATAAGAAGGTCATTTTCGATTGAATGTCATCGGGTATGAACTAAATTCGTTATGTGTTGATGTTCAAAGTGTTGATGTAGGTCATTTTGAAGGCTTGCAATGAGCCTGACTGTCATTGTGTTTGTTAAAAACGTGCTGGTTCATTGTTAAGCGTATTGCTAATATAATGCACTAGTTTAAGCCGATAAGGTGAAATACACTTGTTGTGTCGTTTGAATATGAAAACGATCGTTTTTTTAACTTTATCGTGAGTTACCGATTTTAAAGAATGTATTATGTCGTGATGTAGGTATATCGTATTCATATCCGTTTGCTTCGATTGGTCTCAATTAGTGTGTTGCAGGGATCGGGGAATTTCGGGGACTCCAGTCCTGGCATTTTTTAAACCGACCGTGTTTTCGGGGTCCCCGACTGCGAAATTTCGTCTGTGAGTGCCCCCGAATTTTTTTCCGTTCTTGCAATACACTAGTCTCAGTTATAAATGCACTATTGAAATACTTATATGGTGCTTTAGCTTGAGTATAATGTAATGTACAAGATGTGATTTTTTGTAGGAATGTGTTTTGTGATTCAAATTTTGCTCTTAGTGGGCGTCCAGCCGACCGTATGAGCTCTGAATGGTTGAGTTTTGAATGCAGAATGGTTGCTATGTTGGGTTTTAGAATGCTTCGAATTAGATGAATTAATGCTTCGAATTAGATGAACTCGGGTAGAAAACTTGTTAAGTGATTGTTGACAGTGGAGGATATTTATCAGTGTTGGAAAAGGTAATGAATGAAATTGTTCCCTCCTCTATCATCTCGGATTATTCTGCTGAGTTCGTTTTAGTATCATGTTGTTTCGTCGAAATTCCGTTAGAATTTTCATTACTTAAGTCGAATAAGCGATGTGTAGTTTTGAAATTCGCCCGGATTTGGCGTTCGTGGATGTGCATAATCAAAGCCGTCCGAAATTCGAGGCATCTTTTCGTCAATGTTTATTTCGGCGCAGAACTAATCGTAAGTGCATATTATAACTTGTTGAGTTGTTGAGTATAATGTATTTGGAAATTCTGAAATAACGAAAAATATCAGTATGTTTAACGCAGTGACTATGCAAATCTGAATTCGATTTAGAAACTTTATAAAACGTTAAAAATATGTTAATTCATTCAATAAGTTCAACATTTAATCCGTCCATATTGTTTGGTTTAAGTTCATAGTTAAATTCGCTTCAAATTTATCAACTGAATTGCTTTATCGAACAAAATTTTCGATTGCGTTACTTTGTCAAGCAAAATTGTTGGTTGCGTTAGTTTACCAACCAAAGTAACTGCCCTTTTCTGTACATTCTTAAACTTTTTGGTGTGATTCTGCTTGTTGCATTTTATTTCCTGTCGCTGATTTGTGTGGAAAATTTTCGTTCTAGAGAATTTTTTTGAAGACGTTTGAATACTTACTTAATTCTTAAACCGTTTCACTGAGTGTCGGTGAATTTGTTCGATAACTTTTGGTTTTAGAGTCTGTTTGTATTGTTGCGAACTTCGCTTTTTGATATTTATTTTGTATTATTGCTTGGTTTTTATTTTTCATTTTGATTGTTCTTTTTTTGGCTTTTTTTCCGTTTTGTTCAAACTTGTCAGTAGTGTGATATAGATGAGTATTATTCTGTTTTGTACTCATTGAAGAGCTTTATTTTATTACGTAAAATTTTGAGTAGTGATCTACTACGAGCTAATCATAACTTGATTTATAATCGAGGTAGTCATGTAATTAAATGATTCTTCACATTGCATTTCTAAATTCATCAAATAATGTCCACGTACTTCCAACACACATTCACAATAATGAACTGCTGATGAACGTAGAAAATGAATCACTCTATTTGTGAAATGGTTATCTGCAAGATACAGTCCACAGAAGTAAAATACTGATTCCTTTTGTAGTCACCAAGCTTGATAAGTTTTTTTTCAGTTAATGCTCTTGATTTGCTGCATCCACAATTATTTTACACGGCCTGCGAATACGTTTCATCTTATTGAATATGCTAAAAGCATGTTTTGAGATACTTTCGAACCGAGACGGAATAATAATAATAATAATATTTTATTCGCATGTCAATATGTATAAAGTAGTATAATACAGTTTAATACTATCTGGCGAATATACTACCCCAACTATTGTTGGGGAAGAGGAAAAGATTTTAAAACAGGCAAAGGAGAATAACAATTTAAATATATTATTGTACAGTGGCAGTGAGATTATAATATCGCGGTTTTAACATATTATAATAATAATAACATGAAAAATTTTCGTTGTACAATTTATGATAATAACATGAAATATAAAAAAGGATGATCGATACGCTTCACGAACTAACTAAATAAGACCAAAAAGTTTGACCCATTTCTATCTCAAATGTCGAGATGAAACTGAAAATTTCGGAAAATAACGGGAAGGTGTGTCTCGCGAAATTCTTTTCAGTTTCAAGAAAAATCGAGGCATTCCGAAGAAAATTTTGCGGAGATTTCCCTTGGATACCTCGGAATTCCAGGAAACCTATCGAATTGCAGCACTTTACATTCCAAAAATGCTTCTTTTTTCTTGAAATGACCCATCGAGATGAAATCTGCGTCTTGGCCGAACGAGGCGAATGGGGTGTGATTACCGTCGATTGGTTGAATCAATATGATGTGTTATTGTTCACCTTTATGTTAATAATAATATTTTGTGGGAAAAAACTCGCACAAAAATGAGAATATCGTATTCTGGCCAGTTTCATACGTAGAATGCGCAAAATAACTTTCTCAGCTGTGCGTAACTTTTTGTTGCACTTTTGTAATATTATATAATCATTACTGCAAGATAAATTGTTGAACTCACGAATCGTAAAATATGCATCTGTTTTTGTCTGCGAACACCTTCAGAAAAAACTTCATAAGTTATTNTTATTCAAACACTAACATAATGTTTCAAGTCTCTCTCTTGTTCGTTAGGATTTTATTAGGGAGCGTTCAGATCGTTCAATGTTCCTAAATGGCGATAATCATAAACACATAAAAGGAATGATCATTTTGCATAGATAATGATACTAATAATAACAATGGCAAAAATGCCATGCATCTATATCAAATAATAAAAGTCGAGCAAGTGTGACTTCATGCCGAGAAGCGTTGCCGTACTGAAAAATCCGAAGAGGATATCACGTCATGAAAATATCACCGACAATGTATTGTTGGTTAAAGTGCTAATTGTGGTAATAGTAATAACGTTAATCGCAATAATAAGGTAATAATAACGATGAAAACAACAACATTATTATCATTATAAAATCGGTGATCGTATCATCATGATATTATAGTGGTAAACTTAAAACATCAATATCACCGAAGTGCCCTTATCGATTTACACAACGAAGTAATTCTCTGAATTTCAAAATTATGAATAAGAACAATAAAAAAATCTGCGTCATTCATTTGGTCGACAGTGCAACAAATTGAGCTAATTTGTTCATAACAATATTATTGGTCGTATCAAGTTTTGACACATCAATTCACATAGCTACATATATATATATTTGCATTTTTCTTTAGTATATGACATTTTTATAGAGTTGTTTTACTGATAGTGTTATTTGGATCAGTATCTGCCGTATTGCTGCTGTCGGTACATGGAATCGTATGCTCTTTGATCGCGTATTTGTTGCTCTGGATAATACGCATCGCGTGGATCGGCTCTTCTCGTTTGCGGTGAATATGCATAATTTGAAGGCAAAGTTGGATAACCTCCTGTTCGGATATCGTACTGCAATATTTCGTTTAACACATTCGAACTGGGTGCAGCATCAAGAGTTGTTTTATTTTAATTATTCTAATCGAAATTTCAATACATTTTTATGCTTGTATTTACACTTCATGGCTGTTTTCGCACCCCATTTCAAAGATCCAGCTTCACTCTTCTACTATTTATCACTTTGATTGTCCATGTTATCAGTTCAGATCGCCATCAAGCAAACGTGTGAACTATTAAGATAAGATTTGGTAGCAGATAGGAGTTGAAATCGGCCTATTACCATGTAAAAAATTCAAAAACAAGATCGATAACTATATAATGATCACTAAATTTAATAAGTATCAATTTAATCAAAATATAATTGAATTGAAAAACCTGTTTATCTGCATCGATCACATTTCCTCGGTTACGATTATACATTCGTTGGAATTTGGCAACCATTATCATCAGTAATGAAATCTGAAAATTCAATTTGTGCATTCAACAAGATCATTTTGACATGAGCTAATTTGATTATGCCACTTTTGATTGATAGAACAGACGTATTCCGAGATAAGGACGAATGGCGTTGAGGCGAGAAAGAGTTGCATCATATAATAATATTAAGGTGAAGAAGTGAACTGTAATCAGCACATTTCATTCATTTTTAAAAGAATGAACTTACGTGAAAGAATTGTAAACCCAAGAAAAAGATTCCTGTTGCAATTCGTGCCAAATTCCACTAAAAAATGTCTTTATTTGCGTTTGCAAGACTGCAGCAAGAATGAATATAGCACATAGCATATTAGGAACAAACAGAATAAGAGGCATCGAAAAGCATTAGAATGCATCACTGTTCATTTATTTTGCTACCAATGAAGTGTGTCCGCTTTGGAGATGTGACTTTCAGTTTTCGAAAATTCTAATAAACTTTTTCATAATGTCACAAAATGGTCACTGTTCAATCAGAAATGCACTCACGTGTGCAAAAAAGAATATGAAGAAAACGGAAATTAATCCGCGAATGATATCCAAAACCATCAGAAATATCCACGGCAGCAATAACCATTCAACATAGGTTGCAAGTCCAATCAACAGTACGATACTGGCAATGATGAGCATTATGTAAAGGATAATATCCACTATTAACGTAAACTTCCTCCCTGAATAATTGTTTACTTATTAAATTTTCTTATATTCTCAGTAAAAACTAGATATCTTTTCAGTTCATATGAAACATGGCTTCAAGTCAACATCGATACGATATTCAGCATGATCTGCCGCAGAAATTAAATTCATTTATGACGCATTAGCTATAAGTTGGCTGTCAATAATTATACACATTTGCTCTGGAGAATGCTTCTCAGTGCTCTCATAAGGAATCAAGCAAAAAGCTCACAAGCATAAGAGAATTTCAGTTCCTCCGTGTACAGACCGAACGAACAATGGTAAGATGTCGAGTCGGCGACCACTACCGTTGTGGTGCCTTCATGGAACGTCAACTTTCGATTATCTGCAACAACTTCATCAACTTAATAATTCCCTAATTCCTCGTAAACTTCAAATGACTTGTGAATCGCCTGAATAAATCCATGTATCATGCGTATGTTCATGAAAATTTTAAAAGGAACCTGCACGGATTTTGCCTTGAGCTTCGAGTTCACAGCTGTTGTAGTGAGACAGATCGCCATTTGCAGTGGTATCCGAAAGACCCCAACCAGCTAGTCCTGTTAGCAACGAATAGAGCAGCTGAAATACCGTCATTCTCATGGAAAATTAGTCAAAATTTGGCGAGGAATTAAGAGTGCAGGTTTTCGGTTTAATTTTAATTGCAATCAAATCGTCGAACAAGACGATTATTTAGAATTGTTCGAGGACAATCGTTCGATATCGACTAGAAGGTCAATGGCTTAGGGAATCGGTCGACATCGAGTGGAAGGCCAATTACAATAATTGAGACAGACTCTCCGTGCGATTACCGCTTGACGAGTTACTTACAGATTTTTCATGCATCTATCATCGAATATTCATGCAGACACTCAAGTTGCAAAAGAGTGCATGAGGCCGTGAATTGATCTTATAAAAAATTATTTAAGAAACAAACAGTTCTCAAACAATTTTTTGTAAGATAAAAAAAATACATCTTCTGGAAGAGATGGAATGCGATTTTTTAGGGCGCGATCGGGTGATTATAGTTGTCGTCTTGTCACACTTCATAACGTCTTGAATTGAATCATGTGGATTAGGATAAATATGAGAAAACGTTTGAGATCGTGTTAAGATGTCGATAGAATGAATTTCGGTATCGAAAAACGGAAATTTCTATCGATCGTTTCCTTTTTGGATCATTCTTGTTTGATCGCATTAGATTTGTTCTAAATTCGATTGAATTAATTCAGTCTCAATTTCTCATCTCTCACATTTCATTTTCCACATTTAACCATATTTGTTTGAAAAATCGAAATGATTCTCAAGTTCTCAATTTCGTCGAAGTGCTTTTCAAAGAATGTGTGTAAATCTGCACTCAGTTCTGCTAAAAATCCAGTTCTTATTCACTTCTTCTTCCGTAAACTGTGCTGAATGGATTGATCTGTATTCATAATGCACGTTTTTTTTTNTTTTTTTTTGGAATCCACAGCATAAACGGATTGCCCACTGAAGTAGAAAATAAGTGCCTAGCTGTTGATAAGCAATAACGCTGATGATGAATTTTCAAATATTATGAAGGAAAATCCTAAATTCGTAGAGTTGCTCTTCAAAATTTTGGAAACGTTGCTGCCAAACGCGTACTTTCATTCCTCAATTTTCAACCAGTTGTATTTATCAACTCTGCTCTATCAGCGTTAACAAAACGAAGTTTAGTACTAATTTCAGCAAGGAAACTAGTTTTGGTTTCAAACCTGCTTTGGGGTCAAATTAACCGGATCAGCTCATTATCAGTTTGCTTCTGATTTAAAAATTTCAATCCAAACAATTCGATTACTTCTCAGAGCGTTATTTCCGACTGCCTATCTATCCTTTAATAGAATTCACGTGGTTACTAAGGATACCCTTTTTTACGGTTGAGAGACTTTTAGTTTTTAATTCAGTTGACAATTCAAATGTTTTTCGATTTGGATTCAGTGAAGAAAGTGATTCACTGAACAATTAAGCGCATAGTTGCGATGTTATTTAAAAAGCGCAAAAACAGAACGAGTTTCTGCGATAGACACTCACAAAACCAGCATTCGGTTATTCGCGTTCTCCACAAACAAATCGAAAATGCATGCAATTTAATTCTCATTACGATTGTTTTTGATGATCAATAATAAAATTCAACTTCTACTTATTTGATCATAGGACTAACTAATTTGCATAATCAGTTTGATGCCAGTCAATATTATTTGATGCCAATCAATAGTTGAATGAAAAACTATCACTTCAGCAATGCTTGTTACAAAGTAAATGGATCGGTTGGTCTGCTTTGAAAGATCAGTTTAAAGCAAAAGTGACTTATCATGAGCCGTATTGAACGCATCACAAATTAGAATAATTTAGTTCCAATCTGAACTCAATTTGATTTTGATGGACTGACTTCATGGGTAATTTGCATTCATCGCTTACATGAATCAACGTGTTTTCAAAGTATACGTGTAATTAAGAATACGCGTGATGAGTGCCCTTTTTTATTCATTGTCATTTAGTTAGGCAACTGTTCTAATCGTAAATAACGGCGGATGAAATCGGATGTGGTCATTCGGGATTCGTCGTAAATGCACGCGATGAGAAAGCATTCACTCGAACTTGTCATAACGACAAGCCTACACAATGGGAAACAACTGGTTGCAAGCTAGAACACCACCAATACCAAATGGGTAACAATTTTCAGGCAAAAACGAATCTCTTTCGCAAATACTTGTTCGCTATCGCGCTGCAAAAAAATGGCATTAGAATACGCAGTATTACTTGTCATGGAGTTGAATCAGTGATTGATGTTCGCTGAATTGTGATTTGAGACAGCTGTTAGCATAAACGTATTTGGAAGTATCACTAATAATATTTTCAATACTTCCAATTTTGCGAATTTCGATCTAAATTGGGCAGCAATATGCTGGTTGTCTCACTATCACGTCTTCATCGCAGCAAGAACAGTGTAGCAAAGTGCAGTTTCAAGAACACCATTTGACCACGTTGTTTACATTGATTTGGACTGGACCTGGATGTAAAATCATTATAGTGAGATTTTCTGCATTTATCTATATAAATACCTTTAGACATAAATACGGAGCAATCTCTGAAACGAATGCGAATAACACAATCCATAACGTGGATTATTATGATCTTTTTTAGTTCTATTTCGTTGACGTTGCGTTTTGCCTTAGAAAGTAAACGACTGAATCATGCTAAACGTAGAACCACCCTTAATGATACTGATCATCATTCAGTAATAATAATGATGATCAGCACTATTAAAGTGGGCGATAGTACAGAATGAATAGTTGTTGCAAGAAATGTTCATGAATCATTGCAAATCAGTATAATGAAATTACCGATCGTGACTTATGAGTAAGTGAATATTGTTGTGAGCATCATCATTAGTGATTCATATGAATTTCAGTGAGTAAGTTGAATAACTTATTAAATTTAGACCTTCTGCAATGTTTAGTTGAAGGCACCTGTATCGACATATAGATAAGTTGCTAATTATTTGACGAATCAGTTGATTTCAACTGTTCAAAATGCGAGGATGTCATGAGGGGAATTTCATGGAAAGTAGTGGAAGAAAAACGAACAGTCAATTAGAAATAAACAATTTGTGATTGAATAGCGAGGATACGCAACTAATTGATTAGATCACTTCATCGATGTAATTGGATCAAAACGGATAAAAGAAGCAACGTGAACTTACGAGAGTGTAGAGTGCGATGAAGACTGTAGCCAGTGAAAGGCCACAACAAAAACAACTTCGAATCTGCACTTCAACTTTAGTCATACTTGTGATGGACTATAGCGAATGTCAAAAGAATTGCATAGATAAACGACTGAGTGAATGCGAATGAAGACGTTTGATCAGTATCGAAGATACTGATTGATAAGGAGTTTATGAGGCGATAGTATCGAGTAAGGTGGAATCGTTCTAAATGCACTGATTTATTAGAACAGATTCAATGAACAATTATTTTATCTCATGCGAATAATAATAATGTCTGCTTTGTTGACGACGATGCTACTGCTAATAGTGGTGGTGTGATGTGGACGATGATAATGGAGTTATGTGATTTGTTGTGGTGTTGTCTTATAAGAGAGTGGGAAGAAAGGAACAACTGAACGAGTGGATGGGGAACGTCGAATTTGGATGTGTAAAGACCGAATGAATTGCATACAGCAACAGCAACAATAGCAGCAGGAGGTATGTCTCCTTCTTGACTGGAATCGTTTTCTTGTCCCAGTTGAATCTTTCGGTAGATGACGAAAGTCAGTTAGTCACTCACCATAATTTCTTCCTCTAATACACCTTCACCTTCACAAACATCTTCCAGCCACCCATTCATCCCTTTACCCACCACTATACCAACTATTATTTCAGTTTCATGCATTCTTTCATTGGTGCACTCGTTCCCTCTGCCAATCCTCTATTCAAGGACATACCTTCATACAATCATCAATTAACAACAATAATGTCAACTACTCTTTTATAGATGCACACAATGCAGGTATGCGCAGCTCATCTCTATGCACTACGACAATTATCATCCAAATGTGCTCCTTTTATATCGGTGCGTGTGTATACTGATAATAAATCATTCAATCAGATTCAATATCGCATTCATCATCCCCTGATACGCATTCTCATCTGCGAATCTCATTTCTTAACCTTTAATCATTATTTGATCACATCTATCATCCACCTTAAAATCAAATGCGACCCGTTTTTGTGAAGATTATTTTATTACACTTTTCACCTATCACACAGTTCATCCATTGATCATACATCGAAATTAACAGATCACTGCAATCATTCAGGATGCAAGGCGATACGGCTGTTACGTTAGCAAAAACACTAGTTAATTAATTGATTAATTATTGGTTCATAACTATTACACCTACTGTTATAAAGAATCGAATGCATTCCTAAACTCTGATCCGAAATTAATCCCCTACGAGTGAGAACAAGCTTTGCTCAAATGATTCGTTAACAAGTCTGAACATAAGAAGCCTGGTATAGCTGACATTAACTGAGTTCCTACCATATCAAAAATTATTGGAATCAAGCGAGGCATTAGGTTGGTTGCGAACAAATAACGGAGGTATGCGTTCATCACGCCTTTTTGGTATAACACTTCGACTGATATATGTTCATCACGCCTTTTTGGTTTGACTGATATACGCAAATCTTCAGAACTGTTCAAGTTCTTCTGAATAGGCCACTTGCTTTTTATCACTTACATTCTGCGAAACGAGTTACTGAAATCATAATTCTAACCATAACATGAATGCTACTAATAATTTAGATTTTATGATTCCACTTTTGTTGGAAGAGTTTACGAATGGAATGAATTGAACGAGTAATTGTGTGTTAATCGAATGATATACGGAATGCCAGAGTGTAATCAAATTCAATTATTAATCGTTACCGGTTTATTACAAAATGAAAACTTTTACGGAACGAAACATTTTTTACTACGAAATTACTTTCAGTTCGTTTCATTCTGCAAAGTACTATATGAACAAATTCAGCCATAGGATTGAAAATACACAAATGAAGCGTTAATAATCGAGTAAATCAGTGCATCTGCTAATCTTACACCATATAAACACATTTCATCACGTTACTGTGAATATTCGGACTTGTTTTGAGATCAACTACCAGTTATGAATGCAACTACCAATTCACTTCCCGCTCCCATCACCGATAAATTATTCCTGTTAGTGATCCAAATGAGAGCTCGAATTTCGATGTTCCAGTTTTGCTGACAATCGGCTGCAAGCTTCTTGCACAGCAAAAATTCGCTCGTAAACCGGCGATGTATTGTGTTCAACTTTTTCATAATTCGTTACGCGATCATATGCCCGGTTCTGTTCGAATAGACATTGATTGCAATGTCAAAAGAATAACATCATGTTGATCAGCTGATGTTGACAGAACGAAAGCAATGTATGCCATCAACAGGTTAAGAAAAGCGACCAACCGGAACAAACAATTCGCGAGAGCATTTTTTGCGGTGTTCAATTTTTGTTGTTGTGAAATGATTGGAAGTGATTAGATGACGGGTAAAATGTCAACGACTGTGAGAACAATTTTCTCATTTTAGCATAATAGTTATATTAATTTGTTTATTTTTTCTTCATCTTCGAAATACCACTATTAAATAAAATATCAATTTCGACAACCATTTATAAATTTAATCAGCAATTACAATTCATCATCAGTTTATGCCTCTCTTTTGTGACAATATTATTTTATTCATTCCTTGACATCCTTCTCTTCGCACATTGGTGTAGAGAATCCTCCGTCTTCATAAACTGTAAGCTCACTTATTGATTTGATGGTCATTGACGGGTAGGATTACTTTTCCATACTGCCCAGTAAATTCCGGGAAGAGTGGGCTGGAAAAAGTCAAAAAAGTAACAACTGCCCTGTGTAGCCTTTGAAAAAAAACGACAGTAGTGATCTTGACGGGTCACGAGTAAACAGCTTCAATGAACGTAATCGAATGGATGGATAGCGATCGACATATGAATTTGCATTCGGGATTTTGACCAATCCCATCGAGCAAACATCCTCCGTGGGGCATAATCATCACGACAAGCCGCAGAGATATCCCTTGCGGAGGCTCCCCTAAATCGTAGATAATAAAAATAACAGTAATTTATCGTTTGAAAAACTCACAATTCCATCATAACAATTCATTTATTCATCATAACAAATGTTGCATATAAATGTTGTAAGCAGTAATGTCCAAGTTCTTCAGCCAAAAAAATTTGGATCTATTAAGAAGCTATTCAGTAGTCGAAGCTAGGAAATGCATATTAAATTTTTTACGAACCCAAAGTGAATCGACTTTCGCGGCCGTAACCTTAGTCAAAAATTTAGGGGATGCGGAGCCAGAGCTGGAGCTGAAGCCGAAACTTTAGAATTCATGAGCTTGAACTGGGACCGGAAACATGGTGAACTGGAGCTGATAGCGGAGCTGGAACTGAGTCAATTTTTTTCAAATTTGGGCATCACTGATCATAAGTTTTGATTAAAACAATAACAGCAATAAAAAAGGCAGAACAAATCCTGTATGAAATAGTGTCAATGATAAGTCAATCCTGATTTTGTAAAGCACACAATGCACACAGGCATTCTTCCCTTCCATTCTATTCTATCGCACATCAATCCATTCAATTGCATTTATTAATCGAAGCCGTTGGTCGCGTTGATACAACAGTCTGATGTTTTGTTCTCTTAAGATGACTCTTCGTCCGTCTCCGACGGAAAAATTTGAATGCCTTATCGCTGCAAACCGCAGCTTGAAACAGCTTGCGTTGCTGTATTTTCGAAAAAAATGTTCCAATAACTTGAACAAATTACACAGCGACTACGTACAAACAAAGAGCACGGAGCCCCGCGAGGAACTCAAAATCCCCACCCCGTGAGGGATATAATCCAGCAGAAATCTTTCATCCTCAATAATGCCAATTTACAGAATTTCATGTTTTTGAAACGAAACAGACACCTCGACCATTTCATTACAGATTACAGTTTCGTCAAAATCATTTAGGGATGATTTAGATGCAGAACAAACTCAAGTATTGAGATTTGAGGCCGAGAATCTAACCAGACGCGAATTTGGGTATCACAATTGCTTTCATCTAACTTTTTTTGCTTCAATTCACATGCACTCAACAGATTTCAACACAGTGTTGTGAACGTAATTTGTTGCCAATAAACATCTGGTTTTAATTGAACTGAGCAGATGATCAAACAACTATTTGGATGCATTGAAACAATCAATTAAACTCTATTTATGGTTAATAACAGTAACAAGAAACAACACAAAACAATACATGAAAATGTTTCAAAGTCATCGCAACACAATCCTTTGTGAATGTTATTAGTGAAACTTGATTCGGGGTCGGAATTTGGTTGCAGATGTTTTGAAAATTACATTCGCTGAACCAGAGATGAAATGCAGCAAGAATTATCAGAGTGATTTTTGGAATCGATGATTGTGTTACATAAATAACAATTTACAATTGAAATATATTTATCACACTACAATGCTGATGAAAAGATCATTTGGATGCTTGTTGCTGTTGTAACTGCTGCAATTGTTTTTCATCTTGCTGTGACATCGACGTCAATCGTTTACCTAATTTCTCATGAACATCCAAATATTTCGCTACACAACGATCCAAGCATACCGCTTCACCTTTCGTCAAATCACCCTCTCTTAAAATTTTCTGCTTTATATTTTCTGGAAAGCTGGCATTTTTTTGGAGATATACGAATCAATTAAAAGAGATATTTTTGGAGATATACGAATCTGAGAAGTTAGTTCAATTTTATTGTGCACTTTAAAACTATACACAAAGAGCTGTTGCGAATTGAATTCTCCGATTGCAAAATGCTGACAATGAGTGAAATACTGAGAGCAACGTAGAACTTAACTAATCAAACGAACATTAAGAAACGGTGCTGCGGAAATGAAGTGGTAACCACAATAAGAACATGTAATTATCATCAATAACGCATGAAAACAGAATGAATAAATAGCAAAATAACCGACCTATAATTAGTGGCAATACACTTTTGTTGACAAGCGTTTGTCATTCGTCGATACATATCAGACATCATTTCCATTTCAAGATCAGCCACCATTTGAAGTTGAGCTTGCGACATCCTTACCTAGTTGTTAGTCCAATTTGGAAGAATTTTATTAAAACAACTGCAATTATATCGATTGATTATAACAATTCAAAACGACTAGAACTGAAAATAAAATGCAACGAACAACAAGATATATCAAATATTGGTTTGAACAAATATCGGAAAATTAAACGCGATGAATCCAAATCCATATTCTGATTTATTTTTACTCCGAATGTCACCAAGTTATCAGTGATCAAACGTGCACACACAAAATAAACAATCAACAGATAAACAATCCAATGGAATCAACTGATGTACATGTTGAAAGATAAACATTTTTTTGGACAGGATAGAACATTTACATGCAAAAGCAGAGCTCATGAAAAACAATGTACACGAAATTGATATACTAAATTCTATTAACGTTTCAAAATGAAATTCCCCTTATTTTTTAGCAGTTGCTAAACGAGTTTCGATCAGTCATTTGTTTCTTCAATGTTTAAACCGAAGAATCGGTTCACGGAGGACAGTCAAAACATGAGTACAGTGTCACATATGTTTCATTAGAGAATCGGACCGGTGTAACTTTAGGTCCATAATAATTCATTGAATACGCCGTACCATCGGCTGGTCCCAACAGTTGCAATGCGATTAAAATGATGTCTGTTAAATAGAGAATTGTGAAACAACCCAATGAAAACATCTTCAATAGTCCTGAAATAAAAATATTTTCCTTCTAATTTCATATAAAACACTCTCCGTTTACTGCCGAAAAATCGAGATTACAATTCTGAGTAATGCCTCATTATGAGCGTATTACTTGAACGGAATCGACTGAAAGATAGTGTATGAATTTCATCTGAAGTGATTTAGATGATAAATTCAACAGATAAAAATAATTTTAAAAACACACCGATAGCGTAATAACCAAGATAAAATCGATCGATACCCAGCCAACCAAGAAATACGGATAGGAGTAGTGCTGTACTGTAATTTAAACCAGATGAGTATTTACAACCGTTGGCGATCACCTTCTCGAACCTTCAATTTAGAATTACAACATATTCTTCAAGTACCAGTCAAACATAACATAAAATGAAAATAAAACTTGTCTGAATGAGAATAATTGAATACATACAGGTTGCACAGAATCAAATGGAAAGATTAGCAACGCCAGCATGTAGATTAGCAAACGGATAAATATACAATAAAATTGGATAGAAAAGATTTACCTGTTCGTCCCATTCAGCAGCCCAATACACTCTAAATTTGGTGCTACCTCGCAAAACACTGAAAGTTATCTCATGAGAATAAAATTCATAATCTTACCAGAGTTGTACAAATGTCACATTAATGCAAAAACAACATTTGCCTAACTTTTGCTCAGGAATGGAAATTATTCACAGAGATGCTAACGCCAGGAACATTAAAAAATACCTCTTATTGAATTATCAGGCGCGCATGTTTCAGGTAGCTGTGTTGCAGGTGATATAAAAGGTTCCTCACATCGATATCTGAAAACACAGAGAATCTGCGTCAGCACGTTAGCCTCTCAATGTCCGCTCCGATCAATCATAATTCTATCAAACCGTTCAAAACAGTGACGAATGTTCCTACAAGAAGCGGCCGACCTACGAACTTCACTCTGAATGAGCAAACAGATATTTAAGTGTGGCGTGGAATCCATTTATTTTTGAATAGTGACAAAATTCGTAAACCACTTCACCATCCTACATGCAAAAATAAGTAAACGCCATTCGACGACCGAGTAAAGCCCTTGAACAAGTGAAATGTTACTTCAGAATGACTTTAAATAAAACTTACTGTCCCATTAGTAAATCGGAGCATGGTTTTGGTTCAAAGCCTCCTGTATCAGCATGTACACAAATAATGATATGGATCAGAAAAACAGCAGCTAATCGAAAGGATATTGAACGATGCATTTGCAATGAAATATTTGACGAAGCAGCTTCGTGATTTGTAATTTTCACTAATTTAATATGAACAGTGCAATATTCCACACAAATTACGGGACATCTTTAACGTCACATACCATCACCTTCACATTTATATTAAAAAATACGGAAAGCTAAACAATTTTTCAAATATGAACGGAAACATGCTTACGAGCAAAACGCCACATGCAACACTCTTCGCACCTTGCTAAATGTGAAATGCTGAATCGTTCCTAAAAATCAAAGAAAATGTTGTCTGAAGTTATCGTAACGCATTCTATTCCTTGGTTCTTCCTCCATCAAAACAATCACTTCGATGCAGTTGTGGCTATGCACTGTTGACGTTTGCGATGAATATGAAAGGTCCTTAATTTTAGCAAAGATTTACGCTAAAGCACGCTGATACATTTCCTGCACATCATTGAAGATATCTTTCTCCAGCAACATGTCTGAGGCTTTCAGAAGTTAAACATGGAGATGTTTGGAAAAACCTATCCATGTCTCCGTGCAGTGTGTTTCAGTGAAGTCACAAATTATTCGTCTGATGGCCGTATGGTTCTCCTCGGACAATCAGTTGTTGTCATCCGTAACTGGCAGCATAACTCTCGTAATTTAACAATTAGCGTCAGAGTTGATTGCATTTTTGGAAACTGCTGAATCTTGGCTACAAGATGCTATACATCTTTCTTCCCAAGTTCTTCTCTCAGAACAGAGAGAATTTCAACTACTTCAGTATATATACCAATTGTGACTATTGAACATCAGCACTGATCACGCCAAGTGGCGTAACTCTCTTAACTTAACAACAGGCGTCAAAGTTAACTGTAGTTTTCTAGGTTCAATCTTGGCTACAACGTATTTTGTTCTTGTGGATCTGCGATAGATAAATTGCCTGGGTTTATTCCCGCTTAATTGTTAGGAAATTCACATTTCTTAACACCTACCAAGTAAAGATGCGAGTTACGTCACACGGCGAACTGTCACTCCGTTCGTAATTGGCGAGCTATTTGAATGCCGTTGAATAGCCGGGAACAACGATGCAAGAATGTTACTTGTCAGTGAGGTAAATATCCGTAAGCATTTTGATTGGATGGTTTAGTGGAAACGTCTTACTTCATTAATTTCCATCTAGTAGGATAGACATGCAGACGGTAGAATAGAAAAGTGGCGAAGTGTCGTAATCTGCAATTGCACAGATCCTTTCTCTAGTTCTAAGACTGAGTCAAGCTTATAAGGTTATGGTCAAGGTTATGGAAAATGTTCAAGTTTAGTGGTCATTATGCTGGGCATTGATGTGGTCCGCGGCAACATCTGCATATCAATGTATCAATTGAAAAACTGGTGTGGGATTGCATATCTGCTTCCCCACCACTGATTTTGATATCGTTTGAAGGAATAGACTCAGGCTTTGACTCAACCTTATTCTCGCGTTTAGGTCCAGGCGTCAAGCCTCTTCTCCTGCTTAATTCATTCGAACACGAGCATGCACAGTGCTAGTTCAACTGACGAACGTTATGACACGTCGTTGTAATTGTTTGGTGCGAAGTCTTTAGAAATTGGTGTCTGCATGAATGAAAAAACAGGCTTATCAAGCCGAGACCGTAGCTGTTCAGTGGTCACTAATTGGTTAATATAATGATTGCAGTATTTATCGGCGGAGTATTTTCTATCAAACGATGTTGTTATTTGTCAGTGATGCTATTTCGTTCGATATATTGCAGCTGTATCATCCAATTTTGCATTATTATTTCTGGTATGGAATGAATTCGTTCAGAATGTATCGATAATGGCCAAAAGAGAAGAGCAGGCAAAGTGGCGGAAAATACTTTATGAACGTCAGCCATATTCAGATTATTATAGCGGTGGTGATGAATTTCTTAAAGACCTCAAAACAAATGGTGAATTTTTCCTATGTAATATTATTACGCAACTTGATATTATGTAGCCTTTTCGTTCATTTGGAAACTGCTTAAACTGTAAGGGATTTATCATTGAACGTCTTGCAGTATCCTTGGTGAAGTACAGTTTCTTGGAAGCAGTCTGCGGGGCATGTCGTGTAGTACTTCATGAAGAAGCGATAGTGATTTATGCGATAATATTCAGTTGGATTGAGGATCTTAACGACGGCGCATTATACATATTTGCATGGCTCATTGCAATTGTGTTACCCTTTTATGTAGTTCACTCAAAACTGGCAGCCGTCACGTGGTCAATATTGTATGATCATTTCTTAACGTTGCTTACACTCGTATTTTTCGGATATGCCTTAACGCCGATTATCAGGTTCGTCGGAATTTCATTGTGACACTTAGAATCAACTTTCGTTCTTATGTTAGCGTCACAATTTTCAGCTGCAGTTTTTCGGAGACTTATGCACTGTTGCAATCTAAAGCGATGTGCCATAATCCATTTTTATAAATAATCGATGAATTTGATTCATCAGGTTATCTAATCTCCGGAATTCATCACAATTTCAAGTCTAATCTTCGGAATTCATCACAATCGTGTTCAGTTGAAAACAACTGAGCACCTCTAATCTCTAGAAAGCTACTAACGCTCATTTTGCATTTTTTTCCGTTTTGTATCCATTTTCATCAGAACTGGTTTGCTTCTAATTGTTTCAGCACTGAAAAGTGTATTTCTAAACCATCCCGTTCGCGATTACAGGACGTTAACGGATACAGTCAGCACGGATACCATATACGCCATGTCCACAATACTTTTTATTTTGAGTTTCCTCTTTCATGATTATGCAATGAACGCTCCGTTGTAAGTATAAATTTGGTGCATTTTTCCATTCAGTAGTTTTTCCGTTTCATTCCAAAAGTATTCATGAAGTGTAAATCCTCGATGAAGTAATTATCAGTCTATTTTTCATCTTATTATTTCAAGGTAAATAATCCATGATGAAACTGATTAATGTTAAGGGTTTCAATGGTGTTCTCGGTGAATTTATCATTGGCCGCAAGTATATGTTTGGTATCTCGAATTAAATCCGATGAAATGGCATTCAATTTATTGGCTATATCAATGACATTATTCTCTTACTGGCCTATTCTTCGCAATGAACTGACCCTCCGCTATTCTTTATCACCGTTGCTTTTAGTTTGCTTTTTCTGTCCTTCAACGACTGTGATTCTCTATTGTTATTCCACAAAACTTCTCGCATTTCTTCAGTTTTCATTGCATTTGTTCGTCGTCATCATATGCCCTTGGATTTTTATCAAGATGCAGCCATTAAAAAAGTGAGTGTTTTTTGTTCTCATACAATTATTTCTCAAATCCACACTAAAATGTATTGAGTAGGTTATCATCCGTGTGTTATTATTTTTAAAAGGATAGCATTTTGTCTCCTTCAACTACAACAAACAATTTTTCTTTTAGTACAATTCATGGACCATGGGATGAGGCTTGTCTCGATGCGATGCGTATGTCGAAAATTGAGTCGAAGTAAGAGAGGAATTATTCTTTAGTGGTCAGGTTTTTGTGAGGACTGTTTACCTCACACATGGTCGTTGCCAACGACTGATCTTATGTGATAATTGTCTGTTTTTGTTACTTGATGACATGCTCCTTGTATTTGTTGGATTCACTAGCAGACTCATTTTGCTATTCAAAAGACGTGCAAGTACTTATGCATCAGAGATTGCATTTGCCTCATGCTTTATTCTCCATTCGTAATGTTCTCATCTGTGATGATACTCAACGCCAACGATAAAATTCATTTTATTTTGTTGACGTGAACGACAAAAAATTGAAAATAAAAGTGAAACAACAAGAATTAAGGCAACGAGGAACGAATTTTGAGGTTACTTCTAGAAATGTGAGAAAATAACAGATTGATGAATTGGTTAAAGAAATGGAAGTGACAGAGGTATTAAACATATAATAACAGATAACATAAAACGAGATTATACCGATTGTGAGTACAAATTGGAACAACTGATTGCACATTAGAAATTAACAAGAGAGTACAAAAGCGCAAATTTACAACTCGGAAGTGTCCACGTCATATTGCTATCGAGTTAGGTAATGATTTTCAAGTATTACTCATTCAGAGTGCTCCCAGCGTTTTGTACAGTTTGTAATCAAGAAATATGATTGGTATAAATTTTGAACAATCTGGCGCTTTCATTCACTGATGATAAAGAAGCAGAATGCAGAGAAATCGTTGTGAACGAGAGCTAATGTTTCATCACAATACGCACCAACAACGAATGTTTTTTTTTAACAAAAGTGAACATCGAATAGAACTAATCTGTATGGGGGCTTGATAATGAAAATTTCCATGCAAAAAGCAAATACTAACCACGAGAAGGCTTAACGGCTGTACGATTACAAACAAAACAACAACTGCGGTGAAAATGAAGGTTTTGAAGTGAAATGAACGGAATGAATTACACTGAATGAAATGGAATATGTAATGAAATGAAAGAGATCATCAATCTATTTTCAGAAACAAAATTTACTTACACGTACAAGACATTATACTGAAAGTTAATAATGAATGAACAATGATTGAAGTAATAATTTTGTGCAAGCAACCTGTAATGTGTTGAGGTGAAGATGTCTTCATTTTTGTGAGGAAGTGAACACGAGTGGCTGAATCTTTTGCATATACTCCGAACGAAGCACCGCTGCACTTGAGGGTCGTAATTCTGGTTTGAACGTCAACATACTCTGCAATTCAATCAGTCCATCATCGTAGCCAGTGAGTGAATCATTTGGCGAGTTGATTCGGCAAACGTCATATGACAGTAATCTCAATAATGATCACACGAAGGGGAGCAATGAATTAATGCAATAAATTCACTTTTACTAGTTTTATAGCGTCCGGAGGCAACTTTGGAGCAATTCTCTCAAAAGGTACAGCCGGATACGACGGGTAATTAGAACGTTCGACGACTGCATTTGGTGGCCAATCAGATATCGAAGGTGTGCCCAATTTTCTGCAACAAGTGATCACTCAATATTCATTTTCCTTGCAGTAAACCAATAAATGCTACATCCATAAAAAACATTTACTGTCCTTATAGAAACTGATCGCACGTGGTTGAACGAATTCAAGTCATCTCGAAGAAAACCAACATCAATAAAAATGATAAGTCGGTTCAATATTTTAAACAAAGTATAAACATAAATCTAATTTCATCTGTTTGCTATTTGATTGTGAGTACGCATATTATTTTGAAAAAATACACTTCAAATCTTACTGAAAGATAACACTGAGTTGTTTTGCTTCAGTTTCTGCCGGAAAAAGCGGCTGTCGTGAGTATAACTCTGCGATGATGCAACCAGCAGCCCAAATATCAACGCCACAATTATATGGACATTGCAGAAGTATTTCTGGACTTCGATACCATAAAGTCACCACCTTAAAACACACCAATTACCAGCTTTTGTCATCAAACAGAGCGAGTGCAACAATTCTGTGAAAAATGTTCACATTCGATCCACATATTTTGTCAAACCAGTACGTTACAAAATCTCAACTGTTTATGTTTCTCATGCATAAGTAGATGAGCCGCGACTTCGAAATTCCTGCTTTTGCATGAACCGTTGATGATCAATTTGTTTTCTTTTGCAAAGCTCATAAATGATTATCCATTAAATCGACACATAAATAAAGAGGTGAGTACCAATGTCGTGAATGAAGACTGCATCGAATAATATCTTGCTAAACCAAAATCAGCGATTTTTACTGTTTGATCCTGATTAATTAAAATATTCTGCGGCTTCAAATCACGATGAATTACATGATTCGCATGCAAAAAATCCAAACCCAACATCATCTGCAATATTTGTTAAGTCTTCGATGAAAACCAAGCTCATCAGATAACTACTTCTGCTAAGATTGCTAACTGGATTCGATCTTTTAAGAGCGAAAGGTGTTCCTCCCGTTCATCCTTTTGATTAACGGTTGCATTTATGAAGTCAACCATTCACCTTACCGGGGATCCATTAACATTTAAACCCAAACGCAGATTCAGTGATACAAATAAATGCATTACTGCCATAAAAACCAATAATTTTTGTTGAATCGATAGTAAGCTGTGATTTGGTGTAAATAAATAAAGAGAGTGATTAAACAATAAAAAATAACCTGTCTAGCAATATGTCTACATTGTGCATCACCCATATCGCGCGGTATTCTACGTAAAAAATCATATAAATCCCAATCACATCGTTCATAAACAATACTCAAGCACATATCACTATCATTACACAAAGTATGAAAAATATCGTGCAATCTAAAATAAAACTTCACGTTCTTTATTGTCTTAATTCGTCTCCATTATAAAGTAACCGCAAATAAAGCTTCTATTCGTATCCATTATAAGGTAATTGCAAAAAATTGTGACCAGCAGGCTTCACGTTTTCGGTAAATTGTTACTATCGAGGAGTACGGAATAAGTGCACTGACAGGGCTGGGATAGACCTGAGCATTAACAGGTGGGAAATGATTTAATCGCAACATTGGCTCATCTATAATACTGGATGTTGAAATATGCATAATATCTAATTTTAAACTAGTACTGAATGTGGTGCACGAAAACTTGCAATGAAAAGGAGTTATGCTACAGTCGTGGTCATCTGAATGAATGAATGCTCGTAAAAAATCACATATGATAAAGTCTCAGAAAAAAATCACAAAAAAGTTGAGAAGTTTTGGTCATATCAGACACATCAGCTGTTCACCAACTGTTGAGAAGTGTCCAATTTGGAATTGGAAAACATGAATAAACTAGAGAAATAGCCAACTTGACAATATTTGGGTGATTCAGATGGTCCAAAGCTTTTAATGCAGATATTTCTCGAATAATGCTCTGCGGAATACCATCGTCGGTTATTTTTACGATCATTTTCTTCAGTGCAAACTGAAAACGACATCATGCTGATGGTTACGAAAAGTGGCTAACATGACTGTAGCCTATAAACAATGGATAGTTCGAATGATTTTGTACGGTCATTCTATGCAGCAACATATAGGCAAGCGGTTGATCCCGTGTTTAGCGTATGGTTTTGAAAAGACAACCTTAGTGAAGGTCTGAAGGTCAACTTGTGCTCAGATTTTAAGAACCACAACATCAGGTTAAGGTTTGTGCTAGTGCTCAAGCCTACATACCACTACAATTGATCCCAACCTTAAAGGAAATTCAAACTTTTCTCTGAAACGTACAGAAGTCTATTTGGTTGTGAGCACTATTTTTTCATAGCCATATGAAACTGCGCGCTTACTAGGCAAAGTAAATTTTGCTTCAACGGAAGCAGCACATCAGAAAAGCGTAGAACTATCAACGAACCTGTTTATTGGTGGGTAAATGAGTGACCAAATAGACAACACCATATGCACCCTTACCAATAATACCATGCTCTTCATATTCATCACTGGTACGTTCCCATGGTCTCTCGAACTGTATTTCGCAGTCCTCATTCACGTTCATCCCAACACCTGAACTCAATTTTTAGATGAAATCTGTTGTCAGCAACACTCTTAAATTATGAACAACTGCTTCAGGTTACTACTGCCATCAAGTACGCATTCAAGACATAACTGATACTACTGCAAATGAACGAAGGCCATTCAGGTAGGTAACCTTGCAACATAGGTCACGGAAAAACTGGGTGTGGTCTAAGACACATAGAGCACGCCTGAGCCATCGCACGCATGAAGACATTCTGCCACAGTTGCCTTCGCATACGTACCACTGCTTTCTGGAAAAATGAGAAGTATTTCAACTGAAATTAACTCACGATCAGTTTGAGTAAGTAAGCATGCAACGAGAAATAAATCAATAATAAACACTAAACAACAACTGGGTAGAGTTGGGATTCATATTATGGATATATTCAATTTACCTGAGATGCAAAATAGAATACAATCAAGAATTGTAAATTTGTACTCGAAGTTGAAGAGTATTGACCTAGTGTGCACTAGAAGTCACAAGCATGCTAATACCAACTGAAATGAATTCGTGCTGGATAGCAATACAGACACAATGTATTGGAATCAGCCACTCAGCTACGTGAGATGGCACTAGAAAATAGTTGATATTAATGTTCCCAATATAA